GAGAGAGAGAGAGGTTGCGGGTGGTGAGGCTCCACGGTTCGAAGGCGAGTTGTATGAGAGAGTGAGGCTCGTGAACTGAACTCGAAAATCTTGGCTTCAATTCGACCCGTTCGGCAATCACGACCACGACCACAACCACGACCAGCGACCAAATATACATATGTATATTGTACTCCACCGAGGGTTCCCCCTAGAAGAAACCGGAATACGGCATGGGATGATTCGTCGACTAAGAGCCAAAACAAAGTAATGCAATGATAATAAAAAGACATAAAGATGGCTCATCGTCTTAGAAACATTACAACATCACATACACCTTCTCAAGTTCTGAAAGCCTTCAAGTATACTTTCCTTTGGGTGCCCCTTACACAACCCTGAAGGTCGGAATTCGATAGAAGCTCGCTCTGCCTTAACTTGGTTTGCTGAATGCTGCGAGATTCTCATATTCGACCTCCAGCCGAGTCCTGCTCCACATTGTAAGCACTGAATTTCCATGATATCCGAACCCGTCTGAGTATATGAAAGGCACTTCAACCCTTGCGCCATGTAGCCAGATGTCCTACCGTTAAACCCCAGCCCCAGCCCCTGGAACCGCAAACTCCTCCCCAAGCGAGTCCCCAAGTCGCATGATAGTCATCTCATACACCCTCGCAGCCTCCATCTCCCACTCAGCCCCAGTCTCAGCGTCATCCTCATCCTCATCCTCCCCCTCCGTCTCAATCTTTCCACCCCTCCCCATAACTTCGACGACTAACACCCTCGTAGCCTCCACCAGCCCCTTGCAACGAACCATATGAGTCAGACTCAAACCCGCCCTCATACCCCCAGAGAAACCCGGCAAAATCTCACCCGACACACAGTCCTCCCCCTTCAGCAAGCTAGAGAATACATGATCCAACTTTCCTAGCAAAACAAAAGTTGCCTTTGGCGAGAATGGGAATGCGGTGATGTACGATGTTACAGCAAGTGCCACATTCAGCAGATACGGGATCTGGAGACTCGCTGATATCACATTTAGCTACCAAAACTTGAAATTTGTTCGAGAGGAGGATAACAGAAGATTATGCAGAGAACTTACGCGTCCCACTGAGCCAAATCACGTCTATCAACTCCCCAAGATCTTTAGCTACTTCTCCAAAGCCCTCATATCCTTTCACTTCATCCCCTGCCTCCAACGGCAGGAATTTTTTCGCGTACCGCCTACCGACAACCAGCAATCGACGGTCGACGTACCGTCTTAGGGCATCTTCTTTTGAGGAGCCAGCTTTCAAGGGGTTTCTTCTTGGATGGGGTAGGTTACTCGGCGATGCTGTCGATACGGTGCTTGGCGAGGGAGATGGCAACGAGGGCAGAAATCCGCCTGGGAGATGTTCGATGGAGTCAGCCATTGTTGGTTGTGATGTCCATATTGCAATATAGGAAATGTACTTATATCTGTATGAGGTAGAAAAACTAAGTGAATGACACCCAGTTTACATAATACAGCTTGAAAGCCGACTGAGGTCGTGGGTCGAATCATATAAGGAATCATGTGGGTCGGGCAGCTTAGTCAGCCGGTGTATTTGTTTAGCCTTGTTTACTAAAGTCACATCGCGCAGTGTTGAGCTGATTTTTGTTACGCGATCTAGTCCAATCCAAAAACGGTATCAGGTTATCATCAAACTGCTTAAAACATCAATACTTAGCCTGCCAACTTCCACCAGCACAGCATGTCGAGCCTCGACGATCTGTTCAAAGTACGACAGCCTGATTTGAATCTACTACATGTTCCAACTGACAATGGATTCAGAAACCAGCCCTGCCGAGCAATAAACGCAAACTCGAAGCAGCTCGAGACCCAAGTCAGCTCCCCAGATTCTCCCCAAAGCTCAAGCTCTCTTAACATCCGCAGACGAGATCTACAAAGCTGCGAAGCTATCCTCGAGTGGCCACGTCAAAAGCAATGGCAAAGCTCCAGCGGTCGCAGAAGACGAAGACGACGATGTAGAAGCCGGACCTTCAGCCCCATCCGACGATGAAAAAGACTACGGACCAGACATCCCAGACGACGAGGAGGGGCGATTCTTCGGCGGCGGAATCACAGAGAAAGAGAGTGAGATACTAGACTACATGGAAGGGCAGGAAGCGGCAGAAATAGCACCAGAAAAGATCGACTCGGCGTGGCTGCGGAAACTGGCTCTGAATTTCGAGAAGCGGATATCGAAGAATGCGGAACTGCGGGCGAAGTTCGAAGACGATCCGCAGAAGTTTATGGGGAGCGAAGCAGACCTGGACGCGGATATCAAGGCGCTGAGTATCCTGACCGAGCATCCGCAGCTGTACGGCGAATTTGCGAAGTTGGGCTGTGTTGCGAGTCTCGTGGGCTTGCTAACACATGAGAATACGGATATAGCGATCGACGTGGCGGAAATTTTGAGCGAGCTGACGGATATTGATGTGGAGGTCAAGGAGGATCAGTGGGATCAGTTCGTTGATGCTATGCTCGAGGCTGATCTGCTGGACCTGCTGTTATCGAATTTCGGACGTTTGGATGAGGCCAACGAATCGGATCGTAGTGGTGTTTATCATGCGCTAAGTTTACTGGACAATCTGGTATCGAAGGGAACACTTGCGGAGAATATTGGGCAGGATACAAGATTGCTGGAGTGGTTATTAAGCCGGATACAGAAAAAGGACTCGCCAGTGTCGCAAAATATGCAATACTCTGCAGAAGTCCTGTCCGTTCTGGTCCTTGGCTCATCAACCACTCTGCGGAAACTTTGCGAGTTGAATGGCGTGGACTTGTTGCTCCAGATTGTGGCTGCGTACCGCAAGCGAAACCCCTGTACAGGATCCGACGAAGAAGAGTTCGTCGAAAATATCTTTGACTTGCTGACATGCCTTGTTGATGAGCCCGAAGGAAAGCAAAAATTTGTCGAGGCGGAAGGTATTGAGCTGTGTCTTATCATGATCAGAGAGGGGAAAATGAGCAAACCACGCGCATTGCGGTTGCTCGATCATGCTCTCGCGAAGCAAAGCGGTGCCGAAGCATGCGAAAAACTGGTGGAGGCTGCAGGATTGAAAGTCTTATTTGGTACGTTTATGAAGAAACAAAATGGGGAGACTATGGAGCACCTGCTAGGTATATTTTCCTCGCTGTTAAGGCTACTCCCGGCGAATTCGTCGGGAAGGATACGCACGTTGGCGAAGTTTGTGGAGAAGGATTATGAGAAGCTGGAGAAGCTGGTTAAGTTGAGGAGAGTCTATGCAGCGAAGGTCGATGCAATGGAGAAGGAGATCAGGATCGAGCAATTCCAGATGGATGCCGAGGAGAGGGAGGAAATGGCGGATGAGTGGCTAGAGAGGCGAATGGATGCAGGCTTGTTCTGCCTACAGACCATCGATGTTATTCTTGCTTGGCTAGTGGCAGAGGACGATGGGGCAAACACGAAAATCCGGAGTCTGCTTGCAGATCGGGACGAGGGTTTGTCTGTCGTGAAGGCCACGATACAGGGTATGTTCCCTATGAATTTTGGATGATCTGTCTGACTAATCCTCTCACAGAGCAACTTGATATCATTGACGAATATTCGGAAGAACAGACGTGGACTAAAGACATGCTTAGTACATTGATCCAGTTCTTGACATAGCCAAATGAAAGCTTGTATGATAAGTTTATGTGCAGTTCTATGTGTTGCAGTCCGACTCCTGATGTATGAAACATGCATATATGTATGGACCAAAATATGTACCCACGTTCTAGAACTTGGAGGTTTCGCTAAACAACAATAGTATCTAAGCAAACATGCTATTTGGTCAAATGCTAGACATCACCACCCTCGAGTTGAGCCTCACTCATCTCCCCCAACGCGCCTCTCCCAATCGCTCTCTCCTCCCCGCTCTTCGCGTTCTCCTCCGTTATCAAGCCCCCCGTCCATATCAGACAAGGAACAGCACCCGACACCCCAAGAAGACCCAAGGACCAGGCCATCGTTCCCCACCCGGCACTCTCCTCGACGTATCCGGACCACAGCGGCCCGATGAGCGAGCCCGCAGCAAAGGCCGTCACGAAAAGTCCATATGCTTGAGCATACGCTCCATTTGTCCCAAATCTCCCGGGCTTCTCCTTCTCCTTCGCTTCAACCACGTAGGTGATCTCCGCCATGAGCGGGGCGTTCACCAACGTCAGCGTTATCCCAATCAAGAACAGCAATGCGCACAGCAGGACTTTCTGATCAAGACCATCGTAAGTAACCAGTCGCAGCAGGACCCAGAATGGCACGGCGAGCATGAATCCCGTTACGGTCAGCCAGCGTGGGCCGTACTTATCGGATGCCCAGCCGACTAACGGGGCTAGGAACCCGGGAATCATAATCGCGAGGAAGATGAGGCCGGCCCCTATGGAGTTCCAGTGGAAGGTTCGTTGGACGTAGAGGGGGATGACGGCGTCAAAAGCTGTCATTTGCGAGCCTTGGACGATCCAGCCCCAGAGGGCTGTGAGGAGACGGCGGGATTTGAGGAGGGTGAGGACGGGTGGCCATTTGCTGGATGGTTGCTGTGTTGGAGTGGGTATTTGGGTTTCAGGGCTTTGGCGAGCGACCGAATCTTGTCTACTTGAAGCCGCTTTCCCAGCTTGATCGGCTCCTTGCTGGGGTCCAATTTCATCGGAATGCGTTCCTTCTCGAGATCTGCTGTCGATTACGAGTTTCTCGGGATCTCGAGATGTCTTCTCTGATTCAGTGTTTTCGTCGTCATCCAGCCATTGCCGAGCCACCTTCTTTTCAACCAGGACCAGTCTGAGCAGGATATCGACTGCAATCAAGCCAAATGCCATATAGAAGACCGGATAGTATCCAGCCTTCTCATAGACAATGCCCCCTAGCAGCGGGGCGAGCAAGATGCCCAGACTCATACTGATCCCCACATAGCCCAACGTCTGCCCAATATCCTTCTGGCCAACCGTGTCCACCAAAAGCGCCTGACCGACCGTCCACACCACCGCGGCGCTGCAGCCCTGCAAGATCCTCCCTGCAACCAGTAACGCTACCGTCCGGGCAAGACACAGCATGACCGTCGCGCCGCCCAGCGCCCACAGTCCTAGCAGCAGCGGCAGCCTCCTACTCGACGACCGATCCGCGTACCATCCGGCGACGGGGGACGCCACGAGCAGCGCGGCGCCGTAGACGGCCAGCAGGATCGAGACGTACGACTGTACGGACGACGGGGGCACGTGTGCCCGGGAGGCGAGGGCAAATGGGATGACGGGCACGACGATCCCGTAGAGGAATATGTCGGTAAACACCGCTGTGCATATCGTTGCCAAGACGAACGTTTTGGAGGAGCGGACTTGAAGGAGGTAAGGAGGGGGAGGGGGATGGGGGGAAGTGCTCTCGTCGACCCTCCGCGCCCCAGAGAGGAAGAGGGAGTACTTCTTGACTTGCTCCGTTTTATTCATCTTACGAGCTGGCGAGGCGAAGGAGTTGGTGGCACTCACTTATTACTTATTACTTGAGCGCTAGCAATGCTAAAGCTGCTTGCTTGCTGCTATGTGAACGACAATGCAATGTTTTTTTGTTGTTGTTTTTTGTTTTTTGTTTCTTAGGTAAAAGAGAAGGTATGAAATCTGGTTTCCCGAGATGTTTTTGTTAAGGGTGGCTCTCTTTTTTTGTACATGTATATGTTTTCATCTTTCTTAGTTTGATGAGGATTGATTCATCGACTTGACTCGACTCGACTTGGTCATGACTTTTCTTTTTTTTTTCCTTTCTGCCCGGGCTAGCTAGTATCGGCTAGCCTCTTTCCTTCTCCTCGGAGTGGAAAAAGAAGAAGCGCGCTCTCTCGCTCGGGCTCAAGCGCAGGTCCAATATTAGTCAGTAGGAAAGAATTTTATCTCCGAGTCTTTCTTTCCCTCTCTCCGTGTTATCTCCGCTCTGACTTCAACCTTGTTATTGAAAGAAGTTGGATTTTTTTTCCCCACTGTTTGTATTGTTTGAGCTTTACATAACGATGCCGTTCGGTTGAAATCTTGGTGGATTGGCGAGATGCGTATCGCGTTAAGTACCTACCGATGGCGACGTTTTGCGAAGCGGAACCAGGCGTGGTCAGCTTTCCGTAGGACTTTATAGGGCCGATCCCCCCCTTTTTATTTGCTGTATTAATCGCAGTCAAATAGATATAATATAAAGGGTTTCTGAAACTGCTACATATCGAGGAATCTCCTATCCTATGTTCCTTGATTCTATAATGGCCGTCGATTTTTTTGTAACAAGGGCCCTGGCGGATATGGGCTTATGATCTGTGTGTACATTCTGTAGATAGTGGATATTCTCAAGGTTAGTGAGGAAAATCTCTAGATACAGCAAGAAAACAAATAGCCAGAGAGAGACATGAAATACTCTTCTTGAACGATAATTTACTCGCGAACGAGACAATGAGTGCCTGCTTCATTTTCAGCAGAGATCAATACAAGAAGAGGCTGGAAGGAAAGAAGAAAAAAACTCGGAGCCAAGGAGGAGTAGATACGTTCGAAAGGCTTGTGTGGTGCCGGGAAACCAAACCACTATACGTAGCTCTTCCAGCTGGAAAAAGATATACCTATACAGTAAGTGGCCTTCGGCTTAGAAAAATGGATTAAGGATACGCATGATAGAGGTAGTGGAATCTGATTTGCCATAGATATGTCAGTGTCCATCAAATTGCTGTTCGAAATTATTTATTCATTTATGACTCAACCCGTTTAGTTTTGTTGTAAGAATTCCTGAGCTCAAGGTTAGGCTATTTTTACTCCATTTCTATCCTTCCTCCGACTTGTCGAGATTTACATTGAATGCATTCTTGCTCGAAGCTCTTAACCTCCCATCCAGAACAAGAAAGAAGGCGTGCGGAGGACAAGCGACGCATCGTCGTCCCCAGCACTGGTTTCATTCCTGGAGTCATTTCAAGCTAGAATTCTTTGAATATCTGAGCTAGAGGCAGCTGGACAGTGACACATAAAACTTGAAATATTGTGTCACAGCTGGAGGGTCCTATCATAAATCAAATGGCCAGATTGCCCTGAGATCTCCTTCGTCCTTTACGGGTTCATCATCTTCTGACTTCTCGTTAGTCAATACATCCTGTAACATTCCGTTAAAGTAAGTTATGGATGGTGGCGCTCACGAGCTGCTGGAATTGAGCCCATTGACTGCTCTGCAGAATTGAGTTGCGTGACGGGCAGAGGAAGAAGAGGTGCTGAAGAGAGCAAGCTGCGTCCTGAAGAGATGGGGCACCAAACAGCCCGTACTCCTTCGCGATCCTAACACTGTACGACTCATAAGTTTTTATTCTCTTGGAGACAGCGGGAAGGATGAGGACTTGGATCGAGGTGATTCAGGTGGTCGTTAGCAAGACGAACTCCCAATATTACAGGCCCCAAATCCTAAACTCATTCAAAGACGAGGAGGGTCAAGTCTGGTTCCATCTCCCTCTTTCAAAATAATAACAATAATAGTAATGGGGGAAAAAAACACGAGTTTATTCTAAGTAGGTGGAAAACTGGCTGGTGATGCTTCTTATTAAGTACAATCATTTATCAATGCTACTTTATCCTCACTCCGAAGACCATGCAGGACTGTCATATAAACCACTCCTGACCGCATCCATTACAGAGGTGGAGGAAGAAGACGCTCCCCCCCCCTACCTTCTTCCACTCCCTTCAAAACTAAGCCGGGTACTTTCCAATGGTATATCCGCTCTATTCTGCCCTTTCTGCGCTCTAATTCAGCCTAACATAGTTCGCTGTCGTCGCAATGTCAGTACAAGGACAGGTAAATTAAAACTGTCACTACCCGTTCCAGGAGTCAACTGACCTGGAAATTGCCCCTGTCGTCCGTTGATCTTTCCAACCCACCACTCGTTCACGTTGCCGGTTCTCGTCACAATATCAATCACGTCCCCAGTTGTAAAACTCAAGTCGCCTTCGGCTTGTGCCTCGTAGTCATAAAGAGCCGTGACTTTTTCGGCGACTGGCACGACACTCAATCTCGAGGGCTTGGGCTTCGGTGGGGGAGGCGCCGCGCCTTTTAATTTTGCTGCAACGGAGCTGGCGCGGACAAGTGATGTTTTTCGATCACTACCGTACGTGGGAGACACGGCGTTTGCCGAGTACGCTGGGGGTGGCTTCTCTTCGTCTTTAGATGTTGAGATCCGCGACGGTGCGGCTCCAAGAAGCTTGGGAGGGGTCTTGCCTTCTAGGGCCGGTCGGGCACCTGGTCCGGGTCTTCCAGGAGGACGCTTAGCACCGGTTGTCCTGAACTTGACGATACTCAACGCTTCTGCTCGTTCTTGAATATCCCCCCTCGCGGCCTCGAATCCCTCTTCGACGTCTAGTTGGAGATTGAAATACCCAATATCACATCCTTGCATCCTCTCGTGAAGCGTGTAGAAAACATTCAGCTGCATGTAGTAGAATGATTGGAATAATGGGCGGATGAATTCGCGTTCCAGGGCAAAAAGTTTGGGTAGCTCGTCTTTTAGGAGGTCATTGAAATAGTTGAATTCCTGCGTGGCTTGTTCCACGTCGTTCTCAGCCTTGTACATGGCCTTCTCGTCCTTAAGAGTCTTCTCCTTCTTGTCCTGAAGCTTCTTCAAACTGGCGCGATGCCGGTCGTAATCCAGCTGCTTGTGGTTCCTTTTCAGCGCGGTCTTCCTTATGACCTTTACTATCTCCAGCAACTCGTCTGCAGGCCGGATCACTCTCGTCTCGATCATTTCCAGCTCCGGTTTAAGGGTCGCTAAGAGATCCCGGCAGATTGCCTCGTACTCGTCGCACGCTCTTATGCCGTCAGGGTTTCCTTCGGGAAGGGCAGAGTCTGGGTCGGACATGCGTCCTGAGATGGGCTTGTAGATCTCAGCGATGGCCTGCGAGAATTCAATCTGATGGGACATCATGCCGTTGATCGCGTCAAAGTACTTCTTCGATTCATCGTGCAGCTTCTTGGTCTCGGTCTCCAGCTCCTGGAAGCGCCGCTCTGCATCAACATAGACGGCATCTTTGGTGTTATCGCCTAGGTTGAATTTGGCCTTGATAGTTTGCGGCGCCTAGCGTACGTGTCAGTGATGGGAATTGGGAATTGGGTATTGGGTATTGAATATTGGATATTGGGTAGGTAAGAGATGATATGGTGGTGCGACAAACAACCCCGCCATCGCCTCATCTCATCGCCGGCATGCTTTTGCTTACTCTTATCACCGACTTCTGGAAACCTTTGAAGGACATCTTCCGGGCAGATGTGATGGGGTGTAATCGATGTGCCCAGGGAAGAATAATAGGAGTGTAGGATGCGGCTGCCGGTAAAAAGAAGAATGAATCGTCGGCACCTCGGAGTAGAGTTGGTGGAGGGGGTTTAGTGTTTAGTGTAGCTTGGAGCACAGAACTGCAAGATGGCGACGGGACGGCTATGCTCTGGCTGTGGCTGTGGCTGGCTCACAGGCAAACCCAGGCCAGAGAACAGGCCTGTTGCGATGACGAGGGATCGATGTGGCTGAGTGGCGTATGGGTATGGGGACGGGGACGGGGACGGGAACGGGGATGGGGATAGGGATGAGAGCCGAGCCTCGTACAGAAAGAAAGCTTCTCTTGAATCCCGAACTGAAGAAGTGAAAAGTGAGGCTATTCACAATAGAGAAATGTTCATGTTCATGCTCATGTTCGAGTTTCGATCGAATTCGGATGTTCCTACGTCAGATGGCCACCTTCCGCCCCGCTCCGCCCCGCCCCGCCCCACGTTATGCACATCCCGTGACGTCCCGGATCAGTCCATAAAATTGTGCCGCTCATGCACAATGAGGTGGAGATTCGGGGCCAATCACAGCTCGTCGCTTCGTGAGAGGCAAAAAATACCCTAGTGAGAAATCATACTGAAATCAATGCCGATGTTCGCCTCCTGCATGTAAATATATCGCTATCTTTCTCAATCTCATCATACCACCAACCAACCGGCACGGCCAGATCACCACAATGTCGACCATAGCTTCCTCTTCATTACGGCAGGCTTCGCGCTTATGCTTGAGGCAACCAGCGTCCGCATCCGCTCTCATGAGGAGCGCAGGCAAACTTCGATCTGCGGAGATGGGGACAAAAGCACAGAAGAACGTGAGGAGAGGGTACGTCTCAGAGACGAAGAAGGACAGCGCACAGGTCAATGTCGATACCGCCATCCGGGCAGAGCAGAAGGCCTTCTTTGCAGAGACGGGCAAGCTTCCAGAAAACCAGAGTGTTCCTGGGACCAATGTCAATGCAGATGCCATGATGAGCCCGATAGCTGGTAGGCATCTCTAATAGCCCGGACTATCAAGCTCCAATCTGACATCTCGCAGGTGTACTGAAGCAAGCCACAATCATGGATGAAGGCCAACGGCCGATCTACCTCGATATGCAGGCCACGACACCTTTAGATCCTCGAGTGCTCGACGCCATGCTTCCATTCTACGCCGGCCTCTACGGCAATCCTCACTCGAGAACGCATGCTTATGGCTGGGAGACCGACAAGGCCGTGGAAGAGGCCAGAGAACATGTTGCGAACCTGATTGGTGCAGATCCCAAGGAAATTATCTTCACTAGTGGCGCCACCGAAAGCAATAACATGAGCGTCAAGGGTGTTGCCAGATTTTTTAAGAGAGGTGGAAAAAAGAACCACATTATCACATCCCAGACTGAGCACAAATGTGTACTGGACAGCTGTAGGCATTTGCAAGACGACGGTTTCGATGTCACCTACCTCCCAGTGCAAAACAACGGACTGATCAATATGGAAGAGCTCGAGGCAGCTATTCGGCCTGAGACTGCTATCGTCAGTATTATGGCAGTCAACAACGAAATTGGTATCATCCAACCGTTAGAAGAGATAGGAAAGCTGTGCAGGTCGCGGAAGGTCTTCTTCCACACCGACGGTGCACAAGCAGTGGGAAAGATTCCGATCGATGTTAATAAGATGAACATCGATTTGATGTCGATTTCTTCCCACAAGATCTATGGACCAAAGGGTATGGGAGCATGCTATGTGCGCAGACGACCCCGTGTCAGAATCGACCCTATTATCAGTGGAGGTGGCCAAGAGAGAGGTCTACGAAGTGGAACCCTTGCTCCTGCATTGGTTGTTGGGTTCGGCGAATCCTGCCGTATCGCCAAGGAAGAGATGCCTGTGAGTACTGTCATTAAGTTTTCTTGTGTTTATCTTGCGTGATGATTTACTTTTACATATGCATGGCTTTCCTAGTGACTTCCTTGCTTGCAAGTTGAGGCTTCCTTGACGAAACACAGTTACTTTTCTGATAAGACTCCACCCACTTCACACTGCCAAACGACCATCTCGTGCATTCGCTAATGAAAGAAAATAGTATGATTCGAAGAGAATAAAGATGCTCTCTGACAGACTCCTGAAAGGCCTCCTCTCCCTCGAACACACCTCGCAAAATGGAGACCCAGAGAAATTCTATCCAGGCTGCGTTAACGTCTCATTCGCCTACGTCGAAGGCGAATCTTTGTTAATGGCTCTCAAAGACATCGCGCTCTCCTCAGGCAGCGCGTGCACATCCGCCTCCCTAGAACCCAGCTATGTCCTCCGCGCCCTGGGCAGCAGTGACGAGAACGCCCACAGCAGTATTCGATTCGGCATCGGGCGCTTTACAACAGAGAGCGAGATTGACTATGTGGTAAAGGCTGTCCAAGAGCGCGTGACATTCCTAAGAGAGTTGAGCCCGCTGTGGGAATTGGTGCAGGAGGGCATCCCGCTCGAGAGCATTGAGTGGAGCCAACACTGATATGTTTTTTTCCTTCATGGTTTGGATGTGGCGGTTGGGGATGACTGGGCAGGTACTGATTTGGCGACGGCGTTCTGAGATTATGGGACTCTGGGCGCTTGAAACTTGTAGCAATATCTGGGTGGCAAGGCTGGATGGAAGCCTGTATGTAACGATCGTTCTTCCCACTTCTACTGTGGAACTACAAATGGGCCTGATTTAAGAGTTCATTCATCTGCTTTATCGGAAAGGTAGCCTTTGTATTGCGGATCCATGACAGGCTATGCAGACAAATTTGAGAGGCATTGATTTGATGATACTGACGACAAACGATCCATCCATCCCCAGCCCTCCACCAACCCGAACATATTTAATACACACACATTCCTTTATACCATCATCCATCTCTGATGATGACCCAGTACGGGAACGCATTCCCAATCGCGCGTATCGTACAGTACACACATCTATCTCAATCTCCGTCCGTCAGTCCATCCCATCCTTCACCTCTTTCTTATCCGTCTATACACATACATCCGCCTGCCTAGATAATGATCTGCCGAACCATGAATCAACGACTGAGCATCCGTCCACCCTCCTTCGTCACATCGATTTGCCGGCCGCATGCTCTGCCCCCTGCAAATTTACAACCTGCGTCCGAGCTGATCAGTGTTTGATCTTCTCGTCTAGACTGTGTGGATGAAAGATAGGTGTGGTGAGATCAGAGGTGAGGGGGGGAAGGGAGGGAGGTGTGAGGGAAACGGTGGTGTAAGGGAACGAGACAGGGCGACGTACTCGGGAAGAAGGTACTCGCTCCAGGAACTCGAGAAGAAGGCGACGGCGACCTGTAGAGTTAAAAACCGTCCTGTTAGCTAAAGCCGCATAATCTCAATCCCAATGTCCAGCCTCTTTCTGTCTATCTCCATCTTGTCGGCGGCCGGAATCTCTGCTCATGGCAACGGCTCGCTCGCCAGGTCCTCCCTCTCATCCCTTTGACTCTTTCTTTCTTCCTTTCATTCATCTCTCATCTCTCAAAACTCCGTTCTCCCTTCCACTGCTGCACTCCAGAACGAGTACATGAACATGAACAAGAGCGAGGGAATGGGAAACGGAGGGAATCGCACGCACCCCGAAAATAGCAACGCTGCGCACCACACTCGCGTTCTCTGCCGACGTAAGCGCGCCGTATGCGCTGCTGAGGTAGCCTGCCGCTGAGGCTCCTCCCTTGGGTGCTGGGCGGCTGGACTGGACGCGCTTGGGTGCCATTGTTTTTAACGGGAGTTGTGGTGGTGGTAGAGGTGCTGCTGCTGGATGTGCTTGCTGCTGTTGCTGCTACCGCTTGGTGTTTTGTTGATTGTCTTTTTACTTGTGTTACGTTTGTTTCGTTCGGAATTTGAATAGTTGGTTTGCGGCGGAGTGATGATGATGAGGCTGAGGAACTTTTTTGGGAGTTGACTGAATGCATTGACAGGGATGGTGAAGGTCCTGTGTTGATTACTAATCAGAGGCGAATACTCTCGTTGGTCACGTGCTAGATGATGAAAAGCCCCGTGATGTAAACGCTTGAGATGACAACATGTACAACAAACATGGTTACAGGCTTCAACAATGGTAGAAATCTCTCCCACCCTTTCGATTCCATTCTAATGCAGATTTCGTGGGTTCTGCTAGAGTAGCGGACAATCACCTCTACTTGCATCTCCAAAGCTTCATCACCCCAGAAAGCTTAGCACGTTGCTTTTTTGCGACTGGCCAGGCAGGGCAAATTTCCAGTTTCTAGCTCATATATGGCCGTTGCCCCGTTGCCAATGTAAAGCATATCTCCGCCTTCAGCCGTCACTCCGACTCGAATCTCGGACCTGGAAAATATATTTCCAACTTCGAGCTGACGACTTAGCTGTTGGGCCAGTTTGCAGTTCCCTCCGCAGCTGCCACTGGCAGCAATTCCTCATTGAAACAACCGCTCGCTTACGCGAGCTCGGGTGTAGACAGAATATCTGCCCTGGCAAACACGACTGCTCCTGGAGCCCTCTCCTGGTGCCACCCATGCTTGCCTGACCTTGTGTTGTCGACAGAGTAACCTGAAGGCGTGTCTCTGCCATTAATGCGCAGGACAACAATGGCAATGGATGCATCGGCCGCCGAAGCGGCGGAGTAGGACAAGAAGGATGAGAGTTGTCAGCAAGGCTGTTACTGCTTACTTTCTGCATGTCGCTCATGTCTTTTGGCATTCTTCAAGTATCGTGATTCTTTATCCTTCAGGAAATCGTTACTGAGCGGTAAAAACGATTGAGTCAAGAATGTACTTTGTTCCGCTTCCCTTGTTCGGCTTCAATAGCGCATCCGTGTTTATTTCATCGTCAGTCACTTGTACCGTAGCTACGTTGTTTTCACCCAGGTCGTAGAGACAGAATAATATAAGCTAGAACACACCATGTCCACTGGTCCACCTAGCCTTGACGAAGGCGAGCCTCGGCGGAAGAGAGTCAGGAAAGGCACACGAAGTTGCTGGGAATGTAAGCTGAATTTCTAGTCCTCACTCTGCTCGAGCATCTTCTAACCGATAGCAAAGGCAGACGAAGGAAGGTTCGATGCCAACTATGTTCCGACGACGTAGCAGTCTGCTCCGGTTGTCTATCACGAGGTACGACATTTCTCAGTCAAGAGTACGCAGAGGAACGAGAACCATCGAGTAGGGCCCAGGTCAGAGAGAGACTGGGTAGGGTAGAGGCTCTTCTCGAAACTCTGCTTGGGAAAATATCAGCCTATAAGGAAGAGGACGAAGCCCAAAAAATGATGACACCTAAGTCGATTGGAAATGATGTCCTCACTCCGTCTGCAGTGTCATCGTCGAACATAATGAATACTAGCCCTCTCATTTCCTTTTGTGATTCCCCAGGGGTAAGCATCGCATATATTTCAAGTACTTGCCACTTGATGGTGCCAGGTAGACATTCTCCACGGAATGACTGACAGATGCTAGCCTGGCCGCCGAGACACTTCCTCGGTTTCTCACACTTTAACATCCCAATCGACAACTTCAAAAGCCCACTCGTGCAGGCCACCCAAGATCGAGAGAATTCGCCAAATTCTTGTTGGCCTATTACCACCCTAAAGCGAGACGAACACGATCATCCAATCAAGCATTTCGTGGTTCTTGACGCATGCTCTAGAGAACCATGCCATACAAAAGTCCGACACCGCGTCGACCGCAACTCTCAACCTTGCTGATCTCGTGAAGACCCATTCGACAACTATTGCAAGATCCTTACTTTTCATCGCGATTTGCTTACAACGACTTGATCCCGAGTTTGACACATCAAAGTTACACTTGATACCATCTCCGGAAGCGCGAATGGAGAAGATGATTGTTACGGTGCAGGGACTAGTGACTTCGGATGATGAAATAGTGAGCACACTCCATGGGCTTGAGGCATTGTTGCTCTTGGGAGTGTTCCATATCAATGCCGGAAATCCACGACGTGCGTGGTTGACTCTTTGGAGAGCTATGAGTGTCGGTCAGTTAATGGGTAATCACAAATCAGAGCCTACCTTATCAGGGGGCAGACAGATGTGGTTTCAGATCACTCAAGCGGACAGGTATCTTGGTAAGCATTTAATTCTTTTATCATTAGCCATAGATTACATCGGAACCGACAGGTTCTAATATGACTCCAGCGCTTTTCTTGGGGCATCCAGCTGGATCTGAGAACTCCGATTACACGGCAGAAGAGACATTCGAGAATCCGAATACCGATAAAGATCTCCTGTTTACCCGAAAGCTTTGCGATCTCTCCACTCGCATCATCAACCGGAACGAAGCAGTGCATACGCATGCTTATGCCATGACTCAAGAGATTGATTAAGGGCTCGATAATCTCTCCAAAAGGATGCCAGTCTCTTGGTGGGCGATGCCCGATAAAGTCGTGAACGATCGATCTTCCGAAGCAGCTTTCACATTCGACAAACTGATGACCCAGATCTGGTATTTCCAGCTGGAAGCACTGCTTCACCTCCCATGCATGCTCAAAGTCAGGCGCCGCTATGACTACAGCAAGTTTAGCTGTCTAATGGCCTCTCGCGAGATGATGTGGCGTTACCTTGCCCTTCGCAGCGCAGAGAACAGATCTTCCTGCTGTAAGGTGGTTGATTTCTCTGCACTAACCGCGACAGTAACCCTCTTTCTTGGTCTTCTGGAACCAGTCATTGGGCCAGAAAGCCAAGATAGGAAGAGTGATAGGAATTTTATTCAAACGGTCCTTGAATCAATGGAAGCGCTATCTCAAAGGGGCAGAGATTTTGTTGCTACTCAGAGCGCCAGCGTCATCAAGAGTTTGTTGGCGGTGGATAGTAGGTCCGACCAAAGTCATGGCAACCTCAAGCTCACAATCCCTTACTTTGGCACGATCAGCATCGTACGCCCGAATCCAATAATACCGATCCCACCGAGCCCACCTGCCACGGCTCTCCCCTACATTTTACCATCTGAATCCCAGGCCCAAAATCAGCCTCACCAGCTACAGCAGCCGCACACCCTCACGATGGATCACAATCAATCTCCGCCGCGAGACCAACGATGGCCAACCCATAATTCTGTTCCACAGAACTCAATGAGCCAGAGACCGCACAGCCTGCCGCTGGTATCATTCACAGGCTCTCAATTTCCTCCCATGCCACCCAAAGAGCCGCAAGAGGTCCAGGATTGGGGGTTGCCACAGGAGATGGATACGCTATTCTTTGACAGTTTGCTAAACACGGATCTCGAGGGTAATTGGATCTTCTGATTTGATGGTGGTTTGGGTCAAGAGGCTTGAGAAAGCATCAGGGGGGCAAGAAAAACTGTGCAAAATTGGACTCGGCTCGGTTATGACTAGGATAGGACACTCCAGGCAAGAGCAAATAGATGTGATGTGATTGCTCTACGTATCTGGCAAATTCATTTTGGCTCAGAAGCAGCAAATTGTGAGTGACGAAGTTTCATATAAGAACCTTGGGGGGCCCTCAGGGAAGCATGACTGAACCTCGGCGGAGGAGCTCACTTCACTCAAAAGTTACCAAAGAAGCTGCGTGATTTCCTCTATACCTTCAAGCCAAACTGTCTACAATGACTTCAACCCCCTATCCTATAGAGTAAGAATGCGCGCTGCTAATTCTGATGAAAATTATAGGTCTTCGCATGATATAATATGCGGTACTAGATATGTAAGCGAAAAGAGCAAATGACGATTATTATCAACTCTCCCTGGGAAGTGACACGGGAACAATCAAAAGATCTGAAGTAAATTTGCTAGCAAGAGTTTTTGATACTGAGACACACATAAGTATGGTGCTGGACAAAGAAAAATGCGGCTACTAGCTGAAATCGCGCTTTGTTGATATCAGAGTCCTCGTTACTGATATATTTTTTCCGCCACGTGCAGTCGGCGGTTAGAACCGTCAGCGTGGAAGCTCGTGCACTCAGGCATCCTCTAAAACTTTTCAGAGGCTTGTTCCCCCCGAGACCTGGAGAGTTAGGTTCAAGGACTTGATAAGCATATTTTCAGACTCAAAATATATTCTGCACAACGCCTTTCATCCGAGCAGTCAGCAGTCGGGACACACAAATAACAAACAACAAACGCTTTCGCCCTTCAGTTTGAAAAAACATTCTACGATGACGTTCAGAGATCAGAACGCTGGTCAGGGCGAAGCTTTAATCCAATATCGAGGCTGGGTCTATGAGATAACCAGCGAGCCATCAGTAAGTTCGATCTACTCCTTTCGATCCTGATCCTACCTCTTTCTAGTTCTTTTCCAAGCCTTTCTTTACTAAATCAAAGTCTATAGGACCAACTTTATGGTACCGTGGAATATGTTATCAAGTATAAGCCCAATCGACACTTTGTTGGGAACCCGATTGAGGAGATACCGTTGTGGGTGGTGAGTAGTAGCTTTATTACCCTATGCTATCTATACTAAAACATTCTTAGGTCTATCGAGGCCACGCCTTCGCAGCTACGACAATCGACGTGGCTAGCGTCGAGCACCTTGCGGTCAAGGTGGTGAGCGCCGACAACCCCCTTTTCGAGTACCCGGAACCTGAGATGTTTACTACCTTGATTTTGGGCGGCATCAACAGCACTAGCACTGAGTCTGTCAGCACAAGTCCGACGGCTTTCCAAGCAAACCCTTGGCTTATGAGACCACTACCTGGTCAACATGGCCGTCCTATCCACCTGTATCTCCTGCCAATCTCTCAACCCTTCATCCAGCCAGCACGCCAACACATGCAGCCACCCGCACAAGTACCGACCGAGCCACACCCGCCGCAAATGACGCCTACCTACGACAGCCCGCACCCGATGCCCTCCCGAGCCACGATAGTCACTAAAGCCACTCTCCCCTACCTCTACGATCTGCCCGCACACCTACGCGCTGAGGCCAGGGCAACGATGATCGAGCCAGCCCCTCAGAAGCCCGGCGAGTCGAGCCAAGACTGTCGCCAGAGGCTCGATGCCGCGCAGAGGCTCGTACGCGACGAGCTGCTGGAGCGGGCGCTGCTCGTCCTCAACCGACCGCTCAGGTACGGAGACTTCCGCGCGGTGACCGAAGCCCTCAACCGGAGGCTGGAGGGGACCCTGGGTCCGAATGGCAGGGTGTACCGGCCAAAGGGGTTCAACACCGTCGACTCGCACGTTAGGAAGGCGGACTGGTGGAGTGGTTTCGTGGCCAGGGTCCTTCCTTGATTAACATGGAAAGTGACACTACCGCATGGATCGTAGCGTCCGGCACGGCAAGACCATGGCCAGAGTGTGCGTCTATCTCTATTGCCGCACAGTACACGGTGGAGACCAAGAAAGGCTGTAAATCTTGTCAGAACATGCTCCCTGATTAAAGGCTCCTAGAAACATGGAGCGAATTGTTCTCTTCGCTGAGTTCTCTTTTGATTATGATTGTGGCGGCATGGATAGTCAATAAGTAGGGAACGAGTTGAAAGGGATGCTTGGATTGAGCTGAGCTGAATTGAATCAAAGCTGGAGAATAGAGGGAAAGGGAGTATGTGTAAAAAGTCCGAATTTCCGGGCTACTATGATCGGGTACCTTTAGGCTCTAAGGGCGCAATGTAAGAATAGCTTGAGTGCAAAATTATGTATCTATGCTCATGAGCATGAATAATGATGACGAGGAAAGAAGGCTCGGATAATTCAATGTATCTCTGACGAAGAGAATAAATGACAGGTAGCCAGTATAGCTCTAACAGCGATGATAGAATTGAATAAAAACAGGGCGATTATCACGATATTGTAGATAGGTAATAGATCTGCCTTCCGTCTATCCGAGCTTATTCGATTCACCCCATGTTAACCGCAGGAACAACCTCATCCATAGTACACTAGAGCTCATCCATAGTTCGCGTAAATCTCCACCTTTATTAAGAACACCACCCCCTTATGTTTACTACAAGCACATGAATTACTAGTGTTAGCTTTTTATCTCTAATAGCAATCGTATTATCCTTTAATCGTACCCCTGGTCGGAGAACCGCATTCCTGCCTCTGACAATGTCTCCGACCAGTGGTACGATTAATTGTTACTTTAACGGATTCCAATGAGTTGATTAATAGTTGTAATAATTGAATATGCATTGCATATAGAGGTGTCGATAATAATAAAAAGTTAAAGTTTAGATTTGAATATTTACGCGAACTATGGATGAGCTCTAGTGTACAATGGATGAGGTTGTTCCTTATACCCCACCGGCGCGAGGGCGTCGGTAACTTTCAGCGTACACGAGTATAAATATTTACGTAGCAAAGTTCCGTGCTTCGATATCGAGGAAGGCGTTTCTGTTTACTTGATTTCTTCTGATCTGTAGGAGAGAAAAAATATTTCCCGTCAAGCGCACCGCTTTTGGTGCAGGCTTCTGCCTAGATGGCAGGTTTCTGTGCAAGGTACTTGACGGGTTGACGAGCAGCTCAATTATCTGAAGGATATGACGGAGCTCGCGCTCATCCAGCTCCAGCTCAAGAGTCCATGTACAGACTGGAAGAGAATCGCCGAGGCATTCAGCTAGCCGCGAACGGACAACCGGTCAAGTCCCACGGATCCAACGCCCTACATTCCAAGATGACCAGTAAGAACCCAAACTTCAACCACAAATAATGGAAAAGTAAGATTCTATCGTAGAAGAGTACTAAGTACTCTTCATGATTGATAGGCATCATATTTGCATGACTGGGAATGGGACAGGAGGGACTGAGATACTTGAAGGTATTCGGTTCTTTAATACTGTATTTGCTATGATCCTCTACGGAGGTACAGCGTATAAGTAATTCCCTTTGTTTTGATCCACTACTCAGACTAGCTTAATCGAGCAATACCTTTACGGTCCTTCCCTTCGTGTCGCTGAACGCGATAATATGATATATATATTCGATAGAAATAAGAAACAGTTTATTCTGACATTTTATAACTTTCTTATCAGCCTCGATTATAGCCCGACAACGCTCTGGCATGCTTTCAAAAGCGCTTGAAATTCAGATTCGCCGACTTTTTCCTCAGCGATACGAAGCGAGGAATCGTAAAGGTAGGTGTTGCTTGATTAAGCTAGTTTACGGAGTGGGTCAAGAAAGAGGGAATTATTTAAACGCTGTACCTCCGTAAAAATCTTTACTTCTGCTTTGCTTCTGCTTTTCTTATGCTTTTCTCGTGCTTTTCTTATGTTTTTTTTTTGTGCTTTGCTTCTGCTTTGCTTCTGCTTTGCATTCGGAGATAAATCACATCCCAGAGCAGATCTACGTGTACTTTTGCAGCTACATTCACTCTATCCGTGCGTAATACCTCTCAAAAATCCCGAAAATTGTAAGGTGCTAGTTGCTTTCTGAATGATGTTGCATTATCATGCTGCTATCTTGGATAGCTTGTTGACAGCAAAATCATTGCCCCTTTTTAGGCTGAACTTCGGAGCAGTGTCACAGCTTCGGAAAAGGGCTCGGGTAACTACCAAGGTGACAACAACATCAAGGCATGCTTATGTAAGCAAGGCTGACAAGTTGGTGAGACTCAGCTTCAACCGACCTCGAGGTCTCTCCTTCATGCTCACATCCCGCCACAAACGATGCGATGGCACCGGTTTTGTTCACGATCCTCCGCTCTTTACGAGCGCAGCGCACTTATTCCTTTGCTCAGCGCCGAACCCTACGCCTCTGGAACACAGCCATGGGCGGCAAGTCCTCCAGATATACGAGCAGAGACATCCTGAAATTCGTGCCCGCGCAATCCCTTTATCCCACAGCCGAAAGCACTACCCTGGCGCTTTGGAAACGTCATGATAAGAAGGGAACAGAAAATCTAGGCATAATGACTATTGCTGAGTATCTGAAGCGCTTCGCACAGTCGGGGTGGATGCTCATGCCTAGAGCTGTCCCTTTGCGAGATCCCGTGGCTGAAAAGACAGGCGATGCAGTACCATCACTCGTAGGACAAGAAGCAGCAGAACAAAAGGCAACGTCACCATGTTACACATTGAAGCCGATTCGGAGTCTGCGACTAGACAACAAGGTTGCTATGAGGAAGAAAGCGAAAGGATACAAGGCCCCCCATGAATGCCACATCGTATGTGAAGATTTGCTCTACGGCATGATTCTCAAAGCTATATTGACACTCGGAACAGTCAGTACCTACCTCTATCGGATACTATGAGCTTCACATGCAGAAGATTTACGCTACCTTGCTCGCCCGCCGAAACGTCGAAGTACAAATACACCTCAAACGTAAAAAGAAAAAGGGTCGCGACCCCGCGCTTTTCGTCCAGATGCTCGCAGAGAATATACATTTGCGGCCGGACGTTATCCTTGCTGCGATGCCAGAGAAGGCAGGCATCGTGATGAATCCGCAGACCGAGTATAGCACTTCCGGGTGGGTAATGGGCCCTCCGACGGAGGGCGGAGAGCCGCCGCAAAACTTTACAGACAACTTTTACCGTACTAAGAATAAGGTAATAAGACAGTTTCCTCAGCTCGCTGAGGAATTGAGACTCCTCGACCAAGGAAGTCCTCCCGGTGAGAGTGCTTCTACTATTGCATAAAGATCAGCCAAATGAAGTCTCACTACCCAGTTACCACCCTCCGCGTACTGCAAGATTTTCCTCCTTTACCCTTATACGCCATACAAAATACCTGGGGTCATCCATATGTACCAAACATATTTATCCCTTTCAACAACCCAAATCTCTCCTATTAATTCCCACCCGCTTTCCCTCTCTTGATCTGCTCCTAGATTGAGCCCCGTCCTGTATGCGACACATTGATAGTAAGCGGTCTCCCAAGCTTTCTCCTCGCAGACTCCTCAAGCCGTTCTAACTGCTCTTTAGCCTCCTTAACAGCGCCATCCACCGCGACGCGCTCCCTCGCTTCCGTATCGTGGACAACCTGTTCCGCCATACGCGCCCTCTGGCCAATCTCGGTAGCCAGATCCTTCACTTTGTCGCCAAACATATGTTCCATCCGCTCGGCTCGGTCTCTATACTCCTCCACGCCAGTAGCGACGCTTTCTACAGCACTGTCCTTGTGCGTTTGCAAATCTTTCCCGACCTCTCGAGCTTGTTGAGCGAAGTGCGTGATCTCGGAAGCACGACGCGCGCGTAGTAATTCCCAGATTCGCCGCGGGACGACGTCCTGATGCTAATGTGCCGTCGCTATGAGCCATTGAAGTATGTGAAAGGATGTCCGTGAGATGACGGAACATGTTCAGGCTGTCGCTAGGATCAAGGTCGGGGCGGCTGAAATCATCATGTGTTGGAACAGACGAGAGATTTGATGGTGGCTCCAGATTGCCATGGTGTGTTGGGGCATGTTCGACATCTTGTGCTGGCTTCTGCTTAGTGGGAAAAGCCACCAGGAAGAGATTCTTGAGACCGCTCATTTTTGATTAGTGATACGAGTCATGCGGACAGCGAGAGAGAGATCAAGAAGCAGACCGCTGTGAGAAGAAATCACGGAGGAACTAGGAGAAAGGGAATTAAAGTCACGAGTAAACATCACAACAGCAACAGGCAACCTCGTCAGGACTCGGAAATAATCCAATAGCTGGATCGAAGGAAAGCACTGCTGAATCCTGACCGATGCGAAACGGCACATCTTGTCTGTTTTCAGCTTGCAGCCTACCTACACTATCGTCCAAAATTACCGAAGTGCTCACTTGTGGCCGAGACAATATTCTGCATACGGGCGAGAGTAAAAGGGGACTGGGGGGGTAGCAATATTCCGGCCACTTAGTAGCCCATGCTAGGATAGGATCGTGAAGATTCCGTCTTCAACGTTGTAAGCCAGCGGCAAACTCGAGGCCGAGGCTGTCGATTAGTGATGCAGCTGCAGCCCGGAAGTCGGAGGAGGCCAAACAGAGGACTGAAAATGGCCCGAGGGGCTGAACGGATGAGAGCTGACCAGGCGCAAAGCAAGGTTCATGATAAGAGATGGGGGTTATCTTCTCCGCAGCGTGTTGGTGTTGTTGTTATTCGAGGCGAGGGTTTGGAAATGATATGGAAATTTGTATTACTTTTTTTGTATTTTACTCACTCCCTCACACAGGAGTTTCAATCAAATGCAATCCAAGTGAAATTGACTTAATTCCAATGAAATACAAGTAAAAGTAAATGCGTACTCTGAATCTAAAAAAATTACAGCCGGAGCAAGCAAGCCTCTTGGCTTGAAAATGTCGTTTATTTGGGCTTAGCTTTACTTTATTTACCGTTTGATGCATGCATGTATGCATGTATGTATGTGTGTGTGTATATATGTATGTGCAGGCAAGCAGCTCCGTATTGGGAAAAAAAAAATTGAAAAATTGCCACGTCCCTTCCAAGGTCCTTCCAGGGTCAGACAGACAGACATACTGTAAATAAACCTGCCATCAGATAAGATATACCTATACCTAGACTTGAAATAATATATCCATCACGGCGACATCTGCTCTACTCATTTGAGAGGCCTTGTATGACGTCTATCGAGCTGTCCATGTCTGTCTGTGTCCGTATCCGTACCGAATTCTAGGTCTAGGTCTAGACTAGGGTAGGGAGGACCACCCAGCCACAGACAGACACCTCAATCATCTTGTTTTGGTCTTTGTGATCGATCTTCTCTATATCAATAGCTTCAAGCAAGCGGGCTCGCCACCTTGGAATTAATAGGTTTATGCTATACTCAACTCAGATCCCCCCTTCCTCCCCCCCAAAAAAGATCGGTGAGTGTAATATGAATATAGTTCATTCAACGATAAGTAAAATCCCACCTAACACGCAACACTCAACACCCGAATCCCGCGTAAAAGTACCTACACCCCCTTCCTTGTACACCCCCTTCCTAGTACTAAATCGAAATAAAGAAGCTCTTCTCCCCCTCCCTCGGCTTGACCAACGCTCGCTTAATGATAGGATCAACACAACTCACCCGAATCCTCTCCGGCGTCGCCGGACTCTCTAACCGTAGCAGCCCATCCGGCTCCCCCTCGCCATTTACCTTCTCATCGCTCCCCACCGTAGCCTTGACCCCATATTGCGCTCTCGCCGCCTTCAACGCATCGCGGATGGCAAAGAACACCGCGCTCCCCATGAACAGCGGCGGCTCGCCTACCCCACGGCTCCGCTGCACCGTCCGCAGATTCTCCCACTCGACGTCCTTAAGCAGGCTGACGTTGAACTCCTGCGGGATGTCGCGGAAGCCGGGGATCTTGTAGGCACCAGGCCCCCTCGTGGCGAGCTGGCCGGCCATAGGTCCATTGCGAAACCAGAGGCTCTCTTCTGTCGTGAAGAGGCCCATGCCCTGCACGAACGCGCCCTCGATCTGTCCGTAGTCGATAGACGGGTTGATAGAGCGGCCGATATCCATCTTGATATCTGCGCGTAGGCAGGTCCAGTCGCCAGTTAGCGTGTCGACTTCGACTTCTGCTGCCGAAACACCCTGCGTAAAGTAGTAGAACATCATGCCTGTGTTCGGGCCCCACGTATAGCCAATATCGGGCGTCTTGTAAAAACCGTTCGCAGAGAGGTTTACACGATCGAAGTAAGCGGCGCTGGCGAGCTTGCTCATTGAGGCATCTTTGCCAAATTTCTCGCGGTATGGGGCAAGGCGCTCGTTGAGCTGGGCGCAGGCGTTAAAAATCGCATAACCATTGAGATCAGATGATGCGGAAGCTGCGGTCGAGGAGGTATTTGCCACGGTATTGGTGGCTGTCTCCGAGATAAACACATCCTGCAATGGTACACCCAAAGCTTCGGCAGCGATCATTGTCATCTTGGTGTGTAGACCTTGACCCATTTCCGTTCCACCATGTGCCACGAGGACCGAGCCGTCGTGGTAGATGTGGACTAGAGCACCAGCCTGATTGAGGAAGAGCGCTGTGAATGAGATACCGAATTTGGTAGGAATGAGAGCAAGACCTCGCTTCTTCCACTTGTGTTCTGCATTGAACTTGGTGACGGCCTCTCGCCGTTCAGCGTAGTTCGACTCTTGCTTGACTTGCTGGTACATGATGGGAACGTGCCAATCCTTCAGACTCTGTCAAAGCAACTTAGTACGCATTGAGTCGCTGCAGAAGTTGAAAGTAACACACCTGATTGAAATGCGTCTTCTCATCTGGCTTGTAGAAGTTGATCTCTCGTAACTTCTCCACGGGTATATTCAAACGATCCGAAACTTCCTCCATGAATGACTCGGCGATGAAGATACCCTGTGGTCCACCAAAGCCTCTGAACGCCGTATTACTCATAGTGTTCGTCTTTGCAAGTCTACCTCGAACATGGACGTTGGGAATGAGATAGCATCCGTCAATATGAGAGAGCGCTCTATCGCACACAGCGGCACTGAGATCTTGAGTCCAGCCACCATTGCAAAAGACATCAGCATCCAAAGCTTGGAGCTTACCATCTTTGTTGACCGCAACCTTCCAGCGGGAGAGGAATGGATGTCTCTGACCAGACGTGACCATATCCTCGTCACGGTTCAGCATGCAACGAACAGGGCGACCAGCTTTCTTGGCAGCAAGAGCCACAATTCCAGTAAGCTGGATAGATCGAGTCTCCTTGCCCCCAAAGCCACCACCAAGACGCTTGACCCTTGAAACGACTTTGTTAGCAGCAACGTCGCAGACCTGGGCTACATAGGTTTGTCTGGTGCATGTTAGCAGTGACCATATGCAATCAGAAGTAAGGCTCACGTCTCGGTAGGGTTCTGAGTACTTGCAAAGATCTCCATCTCACCATCCTCAGGTTTCGGCACGGCAACGACGGCATTCGTCTCAAGGTAGAAATGCTCCTGTCCACCCATCCTGGTCACTCCCGTAAATACATGGTCCGCTTTCTCAAACGCCTCCTCCGTGTTTCCCTTATTAATGTACCGGTAATGTTGAAAGAAGCTCTCCTTTTCGATAGCCTCCTCAATGGTGAAGATAGCAGGCAACTCCTCATACTCAACCTTCACAAGTCTAGCTCCCGCCGACGCATGCGCAGCACTGTCAGCAAGCACGATTCCGATCGGTTGGCCAGCAGTGAAGACCTCATCGACCGCGAAGAATGGTTCATCGCAGACAGGCGCACCCCAGTAATTCGCCTCAGGCGATGGCATGTCTGTATGATCTACATAATTTACGACACCAGGAGCCTGTAATGCCAAATCTGAATCAACAGAAAGGATCTTGGCGTGTGCTTTAGTAGATAGGACGAGGCAGCCATACAGCTCATTCTTCTGGACGGGGATGTCGTCGGTGTACTGAGCTTCTCCTGTGGTCTGCTTCAAAGCCGCAACATGAGGATTTGCCTTTCCAAGTATATTTTGCTGGTACGCGATAGTCGCGGCACCATCCTCCTTGCCCATCGAGATTGATCTCTCAATCTCGGCAATAACCTCTTGATCCAACTTCGCACCTTTGACGTCGAGCTTGGAGAGGACTTCCTGGTAAAAGCGATAGAAAAAACCAAGAGCGAGAGACTTGCGATAGGTGGCCATGCCACCTGGAACGCCAAAGCGGAGATCAAAATCTTGTTCCAGCGCATTCATGGTTCCCTCAAGCGTTGCCGGATCTGTGAAAGACTTACCCACGAGGTAAGCTCCAGCATTCTCAGCAGCGACAGTTGTAGGAGCCATGCCGCCATAAGCGAGAACGGCACTCTCTACTACATGTGAATCGCTAAGCGAAACCCGAAGGGCAGCATTGACAATGGCAATATCATCGTCTTTGCGCTTCGACTGCTTGTATGCCTGGAAAAACTCGCCTTTCTCACTTGTCACAGGGATCCGAATGCTCGCGATGATTGCAGTTGGGGGCAGCGCAGTCGTCCGGTACCCCTTGAAGAACTGCGACATCGGGATTTCAGTCTCCTCTCCTTGGGACTTAGCCAATATAGTGGCATTAGATGCCACGAAGACAGGGTTGAGATCCGAGATTGGAGAGGCAGTCGCAAGATTACCAGCTGGCGTTCCAACATTTCTGATTTGACGACCAGCAAAGTACTTCAGCTGCTTATGGATTGCAGCGAAAACCTGGCCTCTCACTGGGCCATAGTGCTCGACAGCTTTAAGAGCAATGGCCTCCAAATCGGTAAGGATGACATTACCACCTATCTCTAAGTGATCATCATTGAATGTGAACTGCCGCAACTCAGGGATATCACCAACAAATACGGAAGCTGTATACTGCATGCCCTTGAACTTGATCTCGATTTGAGTTTCGGTAGAGCCGCCTATGATCTTCGCAGAGGGGTAGACGCTTTTGATTTCCAAAAGCTGTTCCAAAGTGACAGGCCGATACCACTTCTTCCTCTTGTTGCCAAGCGCCAAAGGTCTGAACTCGTGCCTGGTAAGAGAAGGTGGGAAAATAAGCTCGGTGTCTGGGTTGTACTCGATGAATCCGGGAGGCGTGAAGCGCTTGATAGGCTGGTCGTCCTTGAACCCATCCTTACAGCATGCTCCAGCTCCGCTCCCCTTGTCCATACAGCACCCACTACCACCACCATTCGCCTTCGCCTTCCCACAAGACTTGTTTGCGCTAAATGTCTGCGCAGCGTCTAGAATAGGGCGGTACCCGGTACATCTGCACAGATTCCCATCGAAAGCCTCTTCCACATCGTGCTCAGAAGGATTCGAGTCGTTTCTCAGCAAAGCATAGAGACTCATGACGATTCCAGGGGTGCAGAATCCACACTGGCTACCATTTCCCCTCGCGATGCGCTCTTGTGTGGGATGCGGCCTCTTTGTGTTCCCAATACCCTCGATCGTAATGACATGCTTGCCGTCCACACTGACCAGCGGTGCGAGACAGGCGTTTACGCTGGCATGGTAAATTTTCTTTGTCGTAGGGTTGTATTGCGAAACCACCACAGTGCAGGCTCCGCATCCTCCCTCTGCGCATCCTAGCTTGGTGCCTGTGAGGCCGATGCCACGCAGGTATTCGAGCAGGGTGGTTTCGGGGTCGAATTCGCCAAGGATTACTCGTGTGCCGTTAAGGTAGAAGCGGAGGGTATCGTCGTAGGTGGTTGTAACTGAGGAGAGGGAGCAGGTGGCGGAGTTTGGTACCGCGGGTTCTGGTGACAACACTGCGCTCGGCGCCATCGTAAATGGTGGGGGAGAAAGCCTCGGATTGATCGCTGGCAGCTCTTATTGATCTTTGAATATCTATTCAGCGGATGCCAGGCAGAAATATCGGGAAGAATCCGAGTGAAATGATATCAACGAGGCGGATGGGGGCAACGAGACCGACTTTCTCGGTTGGCATAAGCTGTAGCCGACTACCTACAACGACCACCCGTAAACAAAAAGACGGGAGGAAAAAGCAGAGAATTGAAAAAGGACAGATATCGAACGGAAGAAAGGAGACTTCTCTTCTCTTTAGTCTTTAGATATCTCAATTCAAGACCGGGCCACAGCCGGCGGCGGCGTCTGTCGGAATCAACAGTATCCCTGGTCTGGTTGAGGGCTTCGATGGAGCTCGCCGTAGCGGGGGAGGGGGGGAGGGTGGGGGCTCAATTCGAAAGGGGGAAGAAATGTGAATGTACGGTAATGAACAATCCAACCCACCTTGTAAACAAACAAGACCTTCTCAGCTATTGATTGACATGAATACAAGAAAGCAACAGCAAGCAGGCTCATAAAAATTGATTGCGGTAAAAGTAAGAAGTAACGAACATTAGAAAGACTTTCCAAGAGAGTCTCCTCCGCAGCTTTACGATAAGTAGTAGGTAGATAAGTAGATGAGCAGGCGAGCTCCGACAACCTGGACAGACGAATGAGCAGTCGCAAAATATAAACAAGCATTGAATGCGATCGCATCTCGTGATGTTTGGTAGAGGTGAGCATGGGATGGTTGGATCACGTCCAGAAAGCAACACGAACTTATCGGCCCCTAAACTTCTAAACTTGTAAAAGATAGAAGAAAAAAACCAAAAACAATCCCCCCCAACCCCTCAAAGAATTGAAAAATAATTGTAAAAAAAAAGAAAAGGCAAAACTCAACTGGAAGCTCATATCATCGGATAGGGGAGATGATATAAGGTTCCAGCTTACAAACCTAATTTAATAGGTTTTCCGGTATGGCAAAGTCTCACGCGAATCTACACCAACTGGTCAGGAACTTGGAGGTTGGAGCAGAGCGGCTAAGCCGCTGAGCCATCGCCCCGAGTCCCGCCAGTTGATGGAAGACAGGACCATAAGTGGCTTATATCAAGCAGGAGAAAAGCTTTCGAGGCGGAAGTCGAGAAAGGCCCGGGAGGAGGAGTCCCAACTTTTCTTAATCAGATCATGGATTCACGGAACTTCGGATAGCCACGAATATAATGAGTTATGGGGTGCGATATGACCTGGAAGCTTTGTGCTACAGTGTTTACCTACCGAGCAGACTGTGCAGTCTACCAAGCAAGCCGACAACTAATCCTCATTGTATGTTCTACGTCCGCGTCATCGTCGTATGAATAAGAAAAATGGAAGATCCAGTTTTATGTGAAAAGCTCCTTTTATTTTAACGCCATGTGTTACTCCTACCCAGTAACTGAGCCAAGTTTTACCTCCGACCTCGTCCCCTGGGTGATTTCATGACCCGACCACCTGCTCTACCTTCTCTCGAGCCCCCTCTCGAGCCACCTCTCGAGAACCCACTACCATCCCCATGTCTCTTCTCCTCACCCAGCCCTCTTCTCCCATTCGTAATCCCACCACGACCTCCTCTCCCCCTATCGCCTCCTCTTCCTCGACCCGTGAGACTACCCCTCGAGCTCCCTCCGATAGTCTTCTTGATAGCCTTGACCTCGTCTTCGTCAAGGTCCATCTCCTCATCCTCATCCTTGGCCCTTTTATTCGAGAACTTAAGTCTGCCACCACGTCCCCTCTGCACCGCATCCCGTCCCTTGATAGCCTTCACGTAAGCACCCACACCCCCTTCGTCCTCATCCACTTTCTCGCCAGGGGCGATAAGAACCATCGGGTCATCCTCATCGTCGCTATCGCCACCAAGCAACAGTTTGCCATCCAAATCCATCCTCGCCTTCGTTCTAACCATGGCTCGCTGTTTAAGCGGTTTGGTAGACGAGATGTTGGCAAGTGCTTTCCGATCTAGAAGATCAAGCGGCTCGTCCTCATCTTCCACGATGTAGGTGTTGCCGCCCTTCTTAGCGGCTTTCCTGCTCTTGCCCAAGACTTCATTGTCAGAGACATCCGAGCCATCTGAATCGTTATCGCTGCCATGTAACGCCTCGTCGTACTCGGACTCGAAGCGCCCCTTTCTCTTTACACATTCGTCGTCGTTTCCCTCGCCTGCAGCTTTCGCGGCGTCCTTGTGACGCTTGTTGCGCTCCTTGGTCTTGCGGATGTTGGAGATGAGCTTCTTGTCTTCTTCGGGGCAGTACTTGTTCACGATTTCAACGCCAAAGCGGCGGATCATGCGCTCCAGGATGTGCTTGACCTTGGCTCTGAAATGGGCTTTGTGTTCGTGACTCCATACCATCAGGTTCGGCACAAGAGTCTGGAGTCTGGGTACCATCATGTCGGTGGGCAAACTGATGATGCAGACTTTCACGAAACCAAGCACGCTGCGTACGATCTCACGGTTGTTGGATGTGAGGAAGAGGTCCATCGTCTCGACAAGACCTGCGATTGTTTCTTGTTGGAGCGATTCACGGAAATGGTAGAGGATTCGGGTCAGGGCTGTGATACAAGCCGAGTTCATGTGCGGCGTGCTACCTCCGAGACCAGCGCCGACCATGGTGAAGTATTCTTCGAGGGTGGCGGGAACGGGAGGCGTGTCGTCGGGCATATGTGCTACCTTGTCATTTTGGATCATGGCACCGGTTGCGTTGGCGATCTTCTCGCCCATGAGGACGAGGAGATCGAAAGCGGCTGTGCGGGCTTTCTCGTTGACTTCCTTGCACGAGATGACGACTTCGGCGAGGATACCAGGGATAAAGTGGAGCGAGTCGTTGGGGAGGAAGGGAATGAGAGTTGAGATTGCAGTGAGTCTGTCTCGCTTGGCTGGAGCGGAAACTTGTTCAGCGCTGTTTACGAGAAGTTGTTGGAGCTCTTCATTTCGTTCGCTGAGAGCTTCTTGGCCTACGGGGGATTCAGCAAGTCGAGGAATGAGCTTGTAGGCCTTCTTCTGCAGTTGAGGATCGTCATCCTTTGAAATAATTACGGAGGCGATGTTGAAAAGAGGGACGAAACTTTCTCTGGGTAGGTATATCGAGATTGTAATGACCAAATCCATGAGAGTGTGACTTGTAGGGGGCATCTTATCTGCAGAATTTTGCTGCTTCTGCTTCTGTTTTTCGGCCTGTGTCTGTACTCCACCTTCCGTGAGAGAATTCTCGAGCATCTTTGTGAGTGACTCGAAAGTATTCATGAGCTCAGCAGATGGTACAATACTCAGGTATGAATTTATAGATCTCAGAATATATCCTCTGTGATGTGGCAAGGTCTTGCTGTAGACATTGAACAGTACTGAGAGCATGTTGCTGGCAAATTTTGATAGGTGGTCAAGATTCTTTTGAGCCGTGGCCTTGGAGACTCGGCTTTGTAGCACGAGATCCTCCTCTTCCTCAATTGCAACAATGGCATGGTTGGAGTCTACCAATAATTGGAGACCCTTACAGATATCGGTACGCAAATCAGCTTGTTGGTACAGCAAGTTCGCCAATAACTCGGCAAATGACTGATCGAAAGCTTCGGTTAGATCCAGAGGCAAATCGCAATACCCTGGCAAAATTGCCCATATCTGCTGCACAACCGTCTCGAACAGCTTAATCTCCATGGTCTTCTCAGCTTCGCCATGAGCAAGAACCCTCGAGAACATGACCTCACTGAGAGGAACGCACTCGGATCTGAAGTGTTGGAGGTTGGTATTGCTAACGAAGTCTCGTAGAATAGGTAACATCCAAGCACGTCCTGGTTGTCCAGCTCTTGGCTTAGCGAGATTCAGGGGCAGGATCTCGAGAACGCGCTCAGGGCCCATCGCTCGAATGGCCTTGCCAATGATTTCATTTGCCTCTGCCTTGCCGGTGAATGACTCGTTTCCACGAAGCTCGCCGATCGTCCTGACAACATCGGCCAGAATCGGGTCTGCTCGCCATCGCAGGCCGTCGAACATGGCACCCATGACATTGAACGTCTCCATCCATGCCGACTGGTATTTGACGCTCAGTAGATCCATCGCTGCCTTCGCTAGCTTTTCCAAAACCTTCTCATCGAATATCGAGGGGTCCAGTAGAACAGAGTCTGGTATGCAGTTCGCCATGAAAGAAACAAGACATTCGGACGCGGAGACTCGAATGTTGTGCGCGGGCGACGCTAAGAATCCAGAAATCATGCTGAACAACTCTGGGAGTTTTTGAAAAGTCTCCTCTGGCTCAATCTGCGCAGAAACATCATACCCTCTGGAAATTACAGCGATCCATGGGGGGAGCAGCTGCGAATCGTTTTGAGATGGTCGGAGCTCTGAAATGACTTCTAGAAGGCGAGGAAGTTTCGAAGACGATGTCTCATCCGCCATTCCCTCGAAAATTATTTCGAAAACCTCAAACGCGGCCATAGTCATGTACTCGTGGGACGACTTCGAAATATTGAGCAGCACTTCGCACAGCGACTCGATTTTCTTGGCCGGCCATCCACCTGAAGCCGATGCTACCGTCTTCACTAATTGCAGGGCATGTATCAATGCTGGCTCGTGGTCCGCGGTTTCGCTTTTCTTCTGCTTCTTCACTTGTCTCGACTGCGCAACAAGATCACTCAGACTCTTCAATGAAGTCTCCGCGCACATATCCGCCGCCGGATGGTCCAAGGAGACGCTCGGAGGGGGGTTCTTCAAGACCTTCATAATGGCATCTTGCGCCCGCTTTCTAATCTTCGGTCTATGATCCATCGCCAGGTTCAGAAGTCCAGCTACAGCCCGTCGAGGGCCAATCTGTGTATGTGACAGTTCCCACGCCGCCGAGTCTTGCGCTACTAACAGAGATTCGAGACATCCTATCGAGGGTCTGAGCAGCGGCGCATCGGCTTCAGGGAGAGTCAAGGCCGGGGCGAGGTTCGTAAGGATTTGGGAAAATTTTGACTGGAGGAGAGGCGGCGGGGCATATGGGGTAACGACATCGAGGAGGTAGACGACTGAGGTCGCCAATTCTTTATTCACGCCGGCACTGGAAGTCGCCTTTCCGAGTAAGGCGAGAAGTCCTGCGAAATAGCCAGTCGGGGTTTGTGCCGTTTTTTGATCTTTAAGGATATCTTCCAGAGAGGAGAGGACAATACGGGTCTGCGAGTAGGGTTTATCAACATATATTTCTTTTTGCCCACCAAAGCTTGACTTGACCAGGCGAGAAAAATGTAAGTTTATTTTACCTGCTGCTGACTCTGAAGCTTTGGCGATCGGATCTTGTCGAGCTTCTCTTCGAGAGACATTGTGAAGAAGTGTATGGGCTCTTTGCGCCGTGCTGGGAGAAGTAAAAGAATCAAGTCGCTTCCACAAAATTGGAAAAAAGTTTATCGGCATGGATGGCATCGATAAGGGGATGGGAGCCGGGGGCACTTATCCCCATATGGCCTTAGCGGCAGACTCTGCCCTAAGAGACGAAATCGGACTCGTACTCGTATTGCGGCTCGAATTCGGATTCGGATTCGGACTCGTATTTGGAATTTTGCTCCTGTCCTCAAGTACTTTGGGAAAGTTTCCTCTCTGATCATATCAAACTATCTCGCTCTCTCACTCAAGTCTCGTTTTCAACCCGTCCTATCCTGTGTGTACCTGTTTTTTAAAAGTATCACTTCGTTGTAATCTTTGGCTGCATTGCACTGCACTTTTTCCATCTTGAAGTCTCTCTTTGACATTTGTTCCCCCCAAAATCCTTATCGCGCGCTCTCTCTCTCTTTGATCATACCATTACGACACCATAACATACTCTCCTTTAGCTATCTCGCGGCGCCTTGCAGTATCCTGGTCTCAGGCCATCGTCCTCCGTCCTCCATCCTCCATCCTCCATCCTCGTTCAACCACCTCCATCCGGCCCAGCCATCATGCGCTTCTCAACAGTGCCCCTCCTGGCGCTGCCAGTCCTCGCTGCGGCGCAAGAATCACCTCTAGAACAGGCCAAAGCTCAAGCTGAATTCTGGTACAACCAAGTCTCCGCAAAGCTCTCCACTTTCTCGTCCTACATCCCCAAAGCAGACAAGGCGCATTCCCCTCACATTGGGTCCGAGGCCGCTGTTAGAGCTGGAGGCAAGACTCTCAACATCCTGACCTTGAATCATTGGGAAGAGACCATCCGATCAAGCGTCACGCCCGAGAGTACCACCCCCGAGGAGTGGTGGGTTTTGATCACCGGGGGGAACAAGACTTGCTTCGGCCAGTGTGGTCAAATCGAGGACGCCTTCAACGAGACAGCAGCTCTTTGGTCTCTTCACCCCACCGCTCCTCACTTGGGATACTTGAATTGTGAGAATCAGCCAGTACTCTGCAATGCTTGGTCTGCTGGTCCTCCATCGCTGTTCTTCTTCGAGGTTCCGCCCAAGCCCGCGCCAGTTATCCAGCGGTCCAGGAGATTGAATACCACCACTACCGAGGTCAAGACCTTCACTGATCTCCTCTCCAGCCAGTCGTATAAGAGTTTGCCGGTTTACGAGGGTGTCTTCCAGCCCTTTGACGGATTTTTTGCCCAGTATGGTCTTGCTATCCCTTTGGGATACTTCTTCTGGGTCTTTGCCGTCATTCCGAATTGGATGTTTATGATTGGTATTTCATTCATGAGCAGAAGCGTCATGTTAGCAGCATCCAGTTCTGAGTAGCCGTGGGTATACTGACAAGAAACAGGGGCAACAGAATGGCACCTCCTCCAAACAGAGCTGCACCACCAGCTGGAGCCACTCCTCGTCGTGTAAGTCTTAGTAGTATAATTATATGCAAATTCAAGGGAACTAAGATACGACTAGTAAATCCTCAAACGATTTCTTCTTCAGTTTGAAAGGGACGAGAGTAATAAGACAGAATCGAAAGTTTCATATCAGGGTTCTGGGCAAAGATCATATAGCTTTCCATAATATTTAGCCAGGGTATCTACAACTTTTAAACTCCAACAATGCTGTAGAAAATTCAAGCGTTCTCCGCTTCACTTCTTGTCGCATGTATCCTCCATCCTTTTTAAGCCGTCCAAAACCTGCTCCCTCAAATGCGCATTCGCAAGCCTTCCAAACCGTAGATCGCTCAACCCACCTACCGTCCTGCGCATCTCTTCTAACAGCGCCTCCGCCTCTTCGTCTAGCCGCCTGATCCCATCCTCGACGTCTTCCACTGCCTCCTGCAGTTCTGGTAAAATCGAAATCAAAGTATGAGGTTTGGAGATCGGCAGATTAGAAGTCGCCCCGAACAGCTATCCGACGATCGATCACTCAGTCAAAGGAATCCGAAAATGACTAGGAAGGCAAAGGAAGGTGTGAATACTAAAAACAGAACATACAGCCTTCTCAATCTCCACCTCGTCATCGCCCTCCTCCCTCTCTGCGTCCCGGCGCGCTCGAACCACCGCCCTTCGCTGCGCATTCCCCCTCCTAACCTCCTGAGCAATGTTCTTCGCGACGGTATCGGCGATGCGCGCACGCTGGTGCTGTAGGTCACGATAGAGGGCCTTGATCTGCGGGGAGGACTGCTGCTTCTGAGCGCGCGGGAACAGCGCGGTGAATGCTGGGAGGGTGGCGATTGTGGGGAGGGGAGCTGGAGGGAGGAGGAAGGTCGCGAGGATGGTTTGTTCGGTCGCTGCCATTGTTGTGTAGGGATGGAGGGTCCTTAGTGAGGTGTACTTGGTGGAATTGAGAGGAGGTGGTGGTTGTAGGCTCAACTCGGAGGCGTTGGTATAGTATGCTTGTGTGCAGCAGCTAGATGGTAGGTGGTCAGGCCACTTGAATTAAAGGCAATTGAATTGATTGAGACAGACGAGAAGAGAGTCCTGTTTGCGAAAATGACGTCGATGAAGGTTTAAATGAATGGTAAGTAAATACTTGTTGACTTCGGGTGTTGATATGGGTTTTTTTCCCCCGAAGCTGAAAGGGAGACGCGACATTTGAACGTGGTCACGCTACCCTGCAATGATCCTTCCTTCGCTTGAAAGCATTAACGACCAGCCTCTCACAGGAACAGCAAGTAAACACCCGTGGGCAATCTTTTCTCCCTTGGTCACTCAGATCTTGGATAGCCTTACCTCGACTTCCTTTCTCATCGCATCGCATCTCATCACAACTCAACTCAACTCAACTCAACTCTGCCCTTCTCTTACCATGGCCCCCTCAAAGGCCGCAGCGGCAGCCGCAGCCTCCCTCTTCGCCAAGGACGAGAAGGTGTTGTGTTTTCATCACGACATGCTGTATGAGGCCAAGATCCTGGATGTCAGAAAGACGGACGAGAAGGATGGTGAGCGGGCCAGCTGGCAGTACAAAATTCATTACAAGGGATGGAAGAACACGGTATGTTCTTTCTCCTTTCCTTGTTCGATAAAGTGTGGTATTGTTGGCGGCAGTGCTGGGGCTCTTTAGCTGATAATTCTGTGTAGTGAGTACAATGCAAAGCATGCCATTTAATACTTTAGATATCTGTATCCCGAGGCGTGCCAGAGCTCCAGGCCCTTGGTACTTTCCCGAGTGGGAAAGGGAAGGGGAAGGGGAAGGGGACGGAAATCACGGGTTATCTTACATCATCACCCCATCTACTTCCTTCTTCCTCACCGACTCCTCCAGTCCAGTTCGGATCAGCTTCAACTTCAACTTCAACTTCAACTTAGGTCATCATCGGCCATCACTTTCACCCTCCAAATTCCATCTTTTAACAACCTATACTGACCGCTCCTCCACCCCGTAGCTGGGACGATTGGGTCCTGCAAGACCGCATCCGCAAGTTCACCGATGAAAATAAAGAGATGGCTGCCTCGATGCACAACCAGATGAAGCAGCTGCGCAATCCGGCTCCCAAGACGGCGGCCGCGAAGAGAGGAGGTGGTCGTGCTAACGGCAGCGATTTCAGCTCCGCGAGGGGCAGCGAGGAGAGACATGCGAGCGTGGCGACCCAGGGTGTTAGAGGAGGCGCGAGAAGACATCGGGATTATGATCTTGAGACTGTATGTTTGAACCCCCTTTCTCATTATGTTGTGAACTTTCATTGTCTTTATTTTTGGCGTTTGAGGTGTGTTTTTATTGTGATGCTTTGAGGTGAGATGTTGGGGTGTCTTTGGAGGGATAAAGTGGAGGGGACCTTTCTTTTTACCTCCCCCCTTTGGCTGCCATTTGCTTCTATCAACGTCTTTCATCCTGGATAGCCAGAGAAGATGCGTTTTCTTTGGCGACTAGGGCCTAGGGAGGCATTGTTGGGTCTCTGCTGGAAATCGCTGGAAACGATATCACGTCGAAGAGCTTCTACAGAACTGTTCGGGAGCGGTGGCTATGCCAATCAATCTTTGATCAACCCTGCCACACCTCCTGTGTGATAGAGCTTGCTGCTATCAAAAAACTCCTGCAACAGGATGAGGATGATCATCCAAAGCTTGTTCATCGTCCACTGAAGCTTCAGCCGACTGCGTCTGAAATCTGCATCCATCTTTCGGCTGCATTATCAGAACGCAACATCAGCTGGAAATCAGCTCGCCACACGTGAAGCAACGAACCACGATGTCTAGCTCCAGCTTGGGCGATCTGGACTATGACTCTGATACCACGGTATCCGAGGACTGGGAGTCCATATACCACCCCTATGTAAGTCACCCCAATACCAATGCTGTATCGCCAACCTAATAATCGTAGGACTGCGAGCGTGGATACCATGATAACCCGACATTATCATCCAGCCTCTTTGGTTTGTATGGCATGATCATCAAGAGCGAGCAGGCCTCATTCGTGAGCATGCCTTCCCAAGTTGCTTACCAGCTTCGTCTGACAAACTGTCAGTCTCTGGAAGATGATATTTCAAAGATAGCTTGGGGTCGCAAGCGTGTTAGAGAGGATGCGATGGAGCCGGCTTCTGCGAAGAGAACGCCCGCCTCACCATCGATGAAAATCGCAGAAAAGCAGATGCAGGATTGTGCAAACGTAGGTTTCTTATCTTTCGTCAATACCAAGCTCAAACTAACTATGAATTGCTAGTTAAGCGCTATGCGACTAGCCTCCTCAATTTCTGGCGGGGGGGTGGCAACTCGTTTTTGGTGGGATCGTGGTGCATGCCCGAAGACGACGTCCACCACCCAAACCCGAGCACAAAAACCTCGCCACGGATTCTTCCTCCCCCCTTCTTCATCAACAGCATCGGTCCTTCTAAACTTCCTCGCTGCTGAGGCCGTACCAAAACAAACTGCTGCGCATACTGTAACTACACCCAATTTTGTAAGATGAGGCCACTCTATCCTGGGTACTTTGCTCATGCGCATTTTCAGGACTTTGCGGATATGCTACGACGGATGGTTCGACTTGTCGTTAGCCCCAAGGGCTATCGCGGGAATACAACGGCGCCTACACCGGCAAAGTCGCCAGAGGTACCAGGTACATTACGGAGGTGCTCAGCTCGAGTCCGTGGAGCCCAGGCGCTCGCGTCGAAATATACCACCAGGTCCGCCCAGGTTGCTCCTACTCCTCAAACCATGTCTAAATCTACTCCTCATACTTATCCTGATATGCCGGTGGCAACATCTGCACCACCACCCCCACGAATTCTCTTGCGAACCAACACCCCCCCGGAGGTGAAGGCGAAGCTGGCGGCTGCCCTGATGCGACGCAAGCTTTTGGGCCCTTTGGAGACCCCGGCTCCACAGCGTAAAGCCTCTCATGATATCGCCAAGCTAGTCGACATGAAGGACACTACCGCTACGCAATTTGCTGTCCGCACGGTGAAGAGGAGGAGAGTGTCACGTGACTCAACCAAAGCAAGCGGACTCGATTCGGCAATATTCACCCCGTCAATGGCATATTCCTCAAAGAGAAAGGCTTCGAATTTTGAGGTGCACAACAACCAATCTGACCATACAACAACCTCCAAAATGCCTCAGTCAAAGAAACCTCGCCTTTTCGAACCCGAACCCGAGCCTGAACCAGATACCAAGATCGAGGTCGAAGACGAGGATCAGACTGAAGATGAGTATCGATTCGAAGACGAGGACCAGATCGAAAATGAGGTCGATGAAGTCGTTGAGCCCGTCCTTGCTACAGGTGGCACTCGCTCATCTCGTGCTGCTCGCAGAAGTGGCGCAGAGGGTTCCGATTTCGTCTTCGCCGAACTTGTACCTAGCGGCAAATCGAGACGCAAGCCATTGATGTCCTGGAGCGACCCGAAGAGCAAGGATTGGGACCCAATCCGAGTTCTCAACGACGACAGCTTGCTTGCCCCCGATAGTCTTCTCCGTCTCCCCCCCAAGAACTTCACCTACATCGACAACAACGGCAAGCTCAGAGAACCACCAAAGTACCATGCACCAAAGCCAAAGCCAGCCACCGCTGCTCCGCACCCGCAACTCCAATACCACACCAAGAACGGAACCGCATCCAACCGTCGCCACTACGAGGGCAGAAAACGCCATCATGTCTTGCCTACCGTGGGAGGGATCGATATTCCAGAGACCGGAAGTGGATGGAAGCCCGGTGGTCTATTCAGAGGAAGACGTGCTCAACACATGAAAGCACTCACGGCCAACGCTGAAGCCGGGGTTGATACTCGTGCCCCTGTAGTCCAGGAGACGGATGATGATAGTTCATTTCTGTCCTTGCCTCCTTCATCTACCCCTCCTTACTCGTCAGATGACAAGGCTTTAATCCCAAACTTGTTGCCAGAGACTGTACCCAGCTTTGCCAAGCGCTACCAAGGTTTCATGAAACACATCGCTCGGAACGTGCTGACAATTCACAAAATTGATCAGGAGGAGAACTTCCAAGCCAGACCCACAGTTCAACTCTCAATTCCAGACCACATTAAGGCCATCCTCGTTGACGACTGGGAGAACGTCACCAAGAACCAGCAACTCGTCCCGATCCCCGCTCAAGTCTCGGTCAATGAAATTCTCGACGACTACGCCGAATACGAGTCCGCCAGACGCCAAGAAGGTACCGTTCAGGGCGATCTGCTCCCAGAAGTCGTCAGTGGTATGAAGCAGTACTTTCGGCAATCTCTGAGTCGCATTCTTCTTTACCGGTGAGAACTCCACGCTCAATTTCTGGTAAATTTTGAGGCTGATCAGACCAATCAGATTCGAGCGTATCCAGTATACAGAGATTCGTGAGAGTTTCGTTCCCAAGGACGGCGATTCTGCAGGAAGAGATGTTGGCGATGTATACGGTGCTGAACACTTATGCCGTCTCATTGGTAAGTGCTCTTCCTGATTCATCGTCCAAAATTAATAGTTTCTCCAGTCGCTCTCCCCGAACTCATCGCTCAGACCAACATGGATGCCCAGTCTGTCAACCGTCTCCGCGAGGAACTCACCAAGTTGATCATATGGCTCGGCAAGAACATCCCCAAGTACTTCGTCAAGGAATACGAGACCCCCGGTTCGGAATACGTCGAGAAGGCGCGCCTCGTATAGGTGGTCTACGGTCGAGGATGGTATGCATGGAGAATGGAGAATGGCGTCACATCTTTTCTGGTAGCGGCCGACCAAATTTATTTGCTTGTATGTACAACAGAGATGCTTTTGTCTATTTCTGATCTGCGGGAGTCTTCTACAGCAGGATTCTCCATGGGTTTCTTGACGAGGACGCCTAACGTGGAAACTATCGTAGGCACTACAGGCACTAATAATTGAATTACTTTTATCACATTTATTTCTGCGCTTCTTGGGTAAACCTGGCTTGATTCTGTGGTGGTTGGTCTACATATGCCCTGCCGACCCCCCCCCCCCCCCCACCCTTTGTTTTTTAATTCCTAGACAGATGATAGCGAAGATGGCATCCTTGATGGAAATTGAAACGGAAGCCATACATCATACATACCTCCCTTCCTAGAATGATCCCTTTCGATACCAATGTTTCTGATTGAGAGTGTTGAAATTGGAATGTGTAGCTGATAGCTGGTACCTGTCAGCAGCAAATTCAAAGTGGAACTATGATTGATTGAGTGAGTGACTGAGTGAGGGACGCTTGGTTGCCCGGCTGTTAGAGTGAACTGTTTCGGGGGATACCAAACTGTTACGGGGCATACCATCTCATGGAGGTAGACAATTCCGTTACATATCTCTAGACGTCTCGGGTGAAGGTGGGCTCGACATTGTAATGATTTTCTACCTCCTCCTCTCTCCTCTCCTCTTCCAATGGATTCTCTATCTACTCCGTATGCGGGTGCTCCTTGGAAGTTGTGCGTGCTTTAGAGCTCTAAAGCTCTAAAGCACACCTCCGCCGCTTACGACGGGATGTTTCAGCTTCCGCCTCCCTCCATTCAGCCACTCGTCGTTCGTCCACCTCCAGTGGTTGAAGGTGACCGTCTCCCGGTTGCGGTATGCCTGGCGCACGACATCTTCCGCGTTGAAGGTCCCCTCCTCGTGCCCGTCGAGCAGCAGACAGGCGATGGCGAAGATCCACTCGTGCAGCAGCCACGCGTTGCGGCAGCTGCGCAGGTCTGGGTCTGCGCTTCTGAAGAGCTGGTCGACGAGGCAGCCGCGCCTGCGGCTGGCGCGGGGAGTTCGACGGAAGTCTTCCCACCAGTATTGGACGTAGCTGGTTGAGCTCTCGGAGACCTCTCTGAGGGCTCTTCGGATCTTCTCTTCCTTGACATGCGAGAGACGGGGCATATTGTGCTTTTTAAGGGTGGCTGCTTCGTAGGAGTTGAAATTGGGGGGATGATATTGAATTTGGGGTCGGTGATATTGAAGCCCATTCATTATATTTGTAGTTCAGCGCTCGAGTCAGTGCTTGAATGTTCTTCCTACCTGTTCATTGTATGTTACACCTTGAGAATGTCTGACGAAGAGCCAGACTCGGAACCACGCCCGTCTAACGTACAGCGAACCCAGACCAGCCCGAGTCTTTGAGGAGTTGTGATTCGAGCCGAGACATCCTCTGTAGACCATCCCTATCTTCCTCTCCTGTGCCCTTCCCTCCCGGCGACATCGCTTTCTGACACCCCTCCGTTCCTCGGAATCAAACATCATATTCTTCACATAGATTCTTTTTCTTTTATCCTGTCCCGATCACCGCGGCGCCGCCTTCTCCATATAAAACCCTGGATCCGGCTTCCTCTCTGCCCTCAACTCCTGCACCGTCAGCGGCCTATCCACCTCCCTGACCGACACCAGCTCCTTGACTTTCATGATTTGGCCGGCGACCTCGGGGGACACGGGGTAGAAGACGGTCTTCATGCGGGTGCGCAGGCCAAGGGCTTTGAGGACGCCCTGCGTGCGTTTCGTGAGGCCGATGCCCGAGCGGATGAGGGTGATGCGGAAATAGGACATTTTTGGATGGGGCTGTCAAAAATTTAGTTGTTTCTTAGAAGTCTGGATTGAAGGCGGTTTTATTACCTTGTGGTGGACAACGACAGTGCTGGTCGACGTCAAGTGTTGGAGTTGGAGGTTGAACTTCTTCAGCTCCCACACGGCTTCACTTCGGCAGACGGGAGACGGCAGCTAGCCCCATAGTCTCTCACTCCATGCGACCGAGGCTTCGAATATGGCTTGAACACCAGGAAGTACAGAATCCGAAGCCGGAACCGCCTTCACTATGACGATGGACAGCTCAACGATAAAGCTCGCCCAGATGCTGCGGCACCCGGACGATTTGGACAAGATTCCCTCTATGAAACTCGAATACGTGCGCAAGAAAGCAGCAGTTGATTCCCAGCTCCGCAGCGGGCTGAAAGAGCAGTTGGAGATCACGCAGTCTGGTATGAACGGTATCACAGACGGGCAGAGGACGGTACAGCTCATCAAAGAGGAGATGATGAAGATCGATAAGCTGTGCGCCGAGGCGCAGAACATGATCCGGGACTTCCCAAACATCAACCTCGTCAGCCAGACGCACCGGAACTTCAGCGCGGTGGAGACGATGCGGGCAAACCTGGACAGCTTCAATGACCGGCTGAATCGCATCGAGGCCTTGCTACGCGAGGACGACGCCGATCCGGAGAACATGCCAAATCTGGTGGCGGTGCACTACGAGTTGACGCAGCTGAGGAACATCAGGGACGATGCGATGGATCAGATTGAGAGAGCGGAAGATCCGAGTGCGCAAGGTACGCTCGAGGAGTATTTTACGCGGCTGGAGGAGGTGGTGGAGTGGTTTGATGAGCATGTGGGCACCATTGCGCTGAACCTCATCAATGTGCTGATTAGCGGGAATAATGGGCTGGTGGTCCGCCTGGCGGTCATCATTGAGGCAGAGGAGAGGAGTGACAAGAGGGTTAAGGCGCTGCAAGAGGCGCTGAAGGATCACAAGGAGATGGCGGCGAGGTTCCAGAGCATCACGGATGGAGCGAAGCAGGTGAGGGGGTATAAGGAAAAGTTCATACAGGCTATTCAAATCCATGCCGAGCAGCAGATTATGGAGTCGAAGCAGGCATTCCTAGAGGATGCATCGCGGATCGATAAGAATTTGAAGTGGTTCTTTAATGATCTGAATGCGGTCAAGCAGGGTATGGTGCCGCTGATGCCGAAGAAGTGGAAGATCTTTCAGACTTATGGGAAGCTGTATCATAAGCTTATGCATGACTTTCTGATTGGAATGCTGGATGACCCCGAGACGGATTCGGCGCATATGCTGTCCATTCTCAATTGGCCCGAGAAATACTACCAGAAGATGGCGAAGCTTGGCTTCAAGCAAGAGGAGTTGGAGCCACTGGTACTCGATGGCCGGGAGCCTGAGCTGGTTAAAGACTTCAGACAGCTTGTCATCAAGTATCTTGATGAGTGGTTGGACCGGATCTTTAAGACGGAACAAAACGATTTCATGGAGCGGAGTGTGGAGGGTGGGAATCTGGATGCCGATGAGTATGGCTATTTCAGGACCAAGAATCTGGTCGATATGTGGCGCATGTTGAGAGAACAAATCGATGCAGCTGGGACGTCTCAGCGGATGGATGTTGTGGAAGGTGTAATTGATGCTATGATCATTCGTCTCAAGACGAGGCAATCGAATTGGCAGAAGATGCTTGATGATGAAGCGGCAAAGTACAACGCGAATCCTGAGTTGGATCTTCTACCGGCTCTCCAGGACTGGCTTGTAGCAACTGCAAACGACCAGATTGCTTGTATCGACGACAACGAGGAAGCCGGCAGATTCGCATACCTGACCAGTTTCCGCCAGAAATTCGAGCCTCTAGTATCCCCGCAGTATCTCGAGGGAGCAGACGCCGACATTGCGGAATTGCGAAACATCTATGTCGATTTCAGTACCCACTGCATAGCCAAGTTCGCCCAACTGGTCTTCGCCGTCGATTTCAGGACCGTCATGCCAGACTTCTTTACACCAAAGTGGTACACGGCAAGCGCCATCAAGCAAATGGTTGTTACATTCGACGAATACGTCAATGACTACAAGGTTGTGCTCCACCACTCCCTCCTGGACATCCTCATCGAGGAACTCGCCGACGAGCTCCTGGTCCGCTACCTAACCAGCGTGCGCAACAAAGGCGCTAAGTTCAAGCGCCAGGACCCCTACAAAGACAAGCTGTTCGACGACGTCTCGATCGCTTTCGAATTCTTTACCGAGAATGCCTATGTCAGTCCCGATGTAGCCGATGCCATCAAGCAGAAGTGGCGCGTCATGGAGCGATTCCTTGAGTTGATTGAAGCAGATAAGAGTGTGATTCCGGAGGTGTTTGCGGCGTTCAAACAGGACTACTGGGATCTGCAGCTCAGCTGGGTGGAGGCGGTGTTAAGGGCAAGAGATGACTTCGATAGAGGCATGCTGAATGCTGTGAAGACGAGGGCGGCTCAGATTAACATTCAGAGGGGCGTGGAGACGTTCATGACGAAGGTTAAATAAGGCTTGTATAACAGTGGAGGAGTTTTTTTTTTTTTTTTTTTTTTTTTTGAAGCGTGGTGTTCGGTGCATCTGCTGGCGTATATGGGTCGCGGATACAGGGATGGGAATGTTTATATATGTTAGAATACCAAGCCTAAGCGATTTTTGAATCTAAACGAGTAGAATCAAAGACTTTTAATCTCTTTAATCACCATTTTGATTCAAGGTTGAACTTTTTATATAGCACGTGTATTTTGAAATAATGTAGGGATTTCTTATACTGTACCTTTCAAGCTCAGCGCTTCGTCAGCGCTTTTCACGAAAAGCTATCCCTCTTTTATAAATGACTAATTAGGTGATCAGTGCTTTTGCAACAGCAGGCGACGGAGAAGGTTCTTCGCCAAAGGAGCTTTTTTTTAAATAAAAAATGATAAAGAGGAACTTTTATCATTTACTGAGGTGCGCAAAGTCCAAGCGATATCGGTGGATGAACTAAAAGGTGCATATGGCCATTGCCGAAGCATAGCATCGAGGATTGAATGAACATCAAAGTAGATGGTTTTCATTCATGCGACAAATCACCTGGGAAATATAGGACCCGAACCTTGTTTATATCTGGAACGGATTCAATTCCTGTATGCAACTTTTTTCATATAAAAAAAAAAAAAAAAAAAAAAGGAAGCGACCTTTCAAGATCGTTGGCAATAGCGTTGGTTGTTGATATAAAGGATTGAGACAGTCGTCGTTGGCAATCGTTAAGTTTGATGTGAAGTTCAAGAACGGGAGCCACCATTACTAGCGGCAGCCTGTTTTTAAGTTAATATCTGAAATTGCATGCCTTGCTGGATCCTGTAATCGCAAACCTCTTTCTCCTTCCTCTCTTTCTCCCTCCTCTCCCTCTCCTCCTTCTCCTTCCTGATATCTTCCCTCTTTCTTTGGGACGATCTGCCTGCGTCCATCATACGGTTCATATCGCTGGTTTTAGTGTTTGCGATACGATCATTCACGGCTTCGCGTGCCTTGATTTCTTTCTGGGTCTTGGGCATCTTGATTTCCGTATGATAGGATATAGACGTAGAAAATTCACGATGCTGCTTAGGAGCATCTTTCCAGGTGATGGCCATTGCTATTCAAGTGCATCATATGTTGCACATTAGCAAGGCTCTCGCCTTGCCCTGTTATGCACATGAAATACGGCAATGCATTCGCCATACTCCGCTGTGTATGGTGGCTTTCTCCCTACATTTTCACTCGAACACGTACCGCCGGCGGGACGTAGGCAAGTCCTCCGGAGCGGCCCAACACTCGACCAGCTTGAGCATTCGTCTGATATCTAGTGGATGATGGGCTGGAGATTTGGGACAGGTGATGTTGACTCATGTATGGAGTGATTCGCTCACTGCAGCAAAATCGATCTGCATGGAATCTGCAAAGGAGCCCACCTCTGGCGTATGGCATCAACCAGCATCCAACCCGACTTGTACGAGGCTTCCCTTATCTTTCCCCTATAGAAAGAGGGGTCGAGATGAATGCATCGATTCTCTGACGTGAGAGAAGTTCATGAAGTCCCATGTAACGAGCACCTCGCAGATGCGTGTATACCCCGACCTTGGAGGGGTTGTATATTGCTCATCGATTCAAATAAATGATCGTATGAAAGCGACTTTACTAACCCTGACTTGCTGTGCACATGATCTGATCGAGCCAATCTCGCTTCTTATCCCTATTCGACCTATACTTGGCTAAGGCAGTCATCTTGTCCTTGACAAAGGCAGCGATTTTCTCATCTGAGACTTCTCCAACCAACCGATCAAAATCCGGTGTTGCAGCTCGGAGCCGTTCCCAGACAAACATATCGGGGCCGTTGAATCCCTGGCGAATAATACAGTGAAACCACGTTCGCCCATCTTCTTTGCATTCTCTCATGAGAGCTGATGGCCTCTCATCCAATGGAATGTCTTTAAGTATAGCTTCCTCCTCTTCCTCCAGGATCCCCAGGAACATTTCCAAAAGCTTGTCGTACCTAGTAGCAACGCTTATATCGTCTTTGTACCAATGGTTTGGCGGATCGAGTAAAAGCCAGCGCGGTGGAGAGCAGAAAATCTGGCAGGGCCCAGCGTATGACCATTCCCAATCAATAACACCGACGATCTTCAGGTCCCGCTCATTATTGACAATCATATTTGCTGGGCCAAAGTCATCGCAAATAAGCTTAAATGGCCCCTTGTCATACTTGGCTAAAACATGGCGTGGGGTAAGGGACTTGAAGATTTCCCAGTAGATGAGCTTTTTTCGTGCATCTGTCTCGTCGTCGACCGCGCTTGGTTGCTGATAGAGCTGTTGTAGATCCCCCTCGGCTACATAAGCAAAATAGTCGGCAGTGGACGAAAAAGTTGTAGCTTTTGGGCCTAGAATATATAAAACAGCAGAGATTAGTATTGACGAGAGTAGGTAGCGCCCAGTTCATGGAGCGTACAGTAAGTATCGACTCCACCGAGAACCAGGGCCTCATGTGCCCTCCACGTGAAGGGCCGTGAGTCTATCGCCGCAGCGTAGCCTACAGCCCTCTGCGACATAGGTGATCTCGATAAGCTGCCGATCCGGGGAAAGTCGAGCTGAAAGAGCTGGAGCATATACCGGGCAATTTGGCGGTATATTGTTGCAGCGACTCCATCACCAATATCCTCACGCATAAGTCTGGCTTCAGAGTCCGGTGCTCGAAGAATGCTCTCCAGGTCGATACCTTTGATGACCGGCATCATGATGAATGGGCCTAGCCCGAACTTATTTTCAGCCGACAAGCCCCAGGCTTTGACTTCAGGGACGGGGATATCCGTCTTGTCTCGAATAAGCTTCAGCGTTAAGACTTCAGCCTCGACCTTTTCATCAGGATGCTTGACTTTGGGGCCTTTAGGAAATCGAACTATCCACTCTTCGCCGTTGGTGAATACGAATTGTATTAACCAGTTATATGAGCCGCTGCGGTCGTGCTCATCACTCTCATGGAGGAGATTACAGGGCAGCTTCTGAGAGTGAAAATCGGAAACCCAAGCTGGAAGTTGTGGGCGACATTCTCTCAATTTTCCCAGCCAGGCCGCGGACTGCTCAACATTATTGATGTATAGAATCTCATCGTGGTCCATTTTTGCCGCGTCGCGTGTCGGACTCGGAATTTGATATCTTGAATTCGAGAGGAAACTTGCACGCAGCGATTGGCACTTGGTCCAAATGTCACATGGCCTACATCCTTTCGCGTGATCACGTGTAGTGCCTTCTCAAATCTCCAAGTTCGTGACGCGTCATGACAAGCAAAACACGATACTCCCATGCACCATTTCCATGCGCAACATCTCCGCACGTCCTTAACCTACCCTGCGATTACAAACGCAAACACGATACACCACAATGCAGGCGTCACCTGAGCGAACAACCCTTAAACGCCAGCGGTCCCGCCCTTCGGCGTGGTGGGCTGCCCCTCCGTCGAACGCGCCGCCGCCGTGGGTTCTGCAGGCACAGGCACAACCTGCTGAAGAACAAATACGAGAACGTGAGCGACAGGCACAGACGCAGAAACGAAAAGATGGTGCGGCGAAGCGGAAGAGGGGAATTTCGGAGGCCCCACAAGCAGGAAATAGAGGGGTGTCTAAGTCTAGAGCAGGAGGAGACGGAGGGAAGAAGGCTGAGAATAGGAGGTCTGGTGGGTCTGGAAAAACTGGCGAGGAGAAGGGGAAGGGTAGTGAGGTGCATGGGGAGGGGAATAGCAAGGTAGTGAGGAGAGGGAAGTCGAGTGGTGGTGCGCAGGATTTGATGGGGTTGGAGATCCAGATGGGGGAGAGTGGAAAGGTTTCTGGAAAGGGACAGAAAAGAAAGCCTGAGAAGAAGGGAGTCACTACGCAAGGGTGGAATGGATCTGCTGCTGAGGAGAATGAGAAGGCATTGAGGAGGGGACGGTCGTCTGGCGGGGAGGCTGAGTTGAGGGCGTTGGGGGAGAGCTCGATGGGCACGGAAGCTGCTTCTGGAGACACATCTGCTGCTGCTCGGCTTGAGGAAGATGACAAAATAAAATCTACGGGTGAGGTCACTGCGAAGAAACGAGGCAGGTCTGCTGCTACGCATGTTGACGAGCTTGACGCGCAAGAAGATGGAGAACACGCTGTAGCGAGAAGACGAGGTCGTTCAAGTGTCGTTGGGGCACAAATGCAGGTCGAAAAAAAACCCACTGAGGAAACGGCTCTCAGGAACCAAGGCCGCCCTGTTGTAGTCCATGATGAAGACCAGGTCGATGAATTAGTCGACGAGACTCTCGAAATGGCTGCCCCCAAGAAGAAAAGCCACCGCTCTCCTGCTGTGCCCATGGACAAAGCTGAAGGGGCATTAAAAAAAGCCTCAGAAAGACGTGGTCGACTTTCAATTTCTGGACAAGGCCCTATTCCAAAACCTCTACAGGCACCCGTTGATGAAGCCCAAAGGGCCACCAAAAAGCGCGGCCGACCTACAGCACCCGAAGGCTCAGCCGAAGCAGTATCCGATGAACCTGCCACCAAGAAAAAACGTGGCAGAATATATGATAACGGGCTTCTTGAGCCGAACATGGCACAGATTACAAAAACGGGCGCGCCAGTCAGAGGACGCGCCCGCACACGCCCATCAGACGTTGTTGAACCAGAGCCATCGAAGCCCAGGGATCAAGATAGGGGCCGGAAACGGACTCGCCAGTCAGATGTCCATATTGCCGAACCTGTGGCTCAACTCGAAAGTAGAGGTCGAAGGAGGACTAGGAGATCAGCGGAAATTGAACAAGACACTGTCCCTGAACTGGCCCACAAAGCTGTCCCCAAAGCCGTCAAGGCCAAACGACGATCGGAGGTTATTGAAGTCGAAGCTGCTTCTTCAAAGCTCACCAGAAGTCGCAGTGATAAGCGAGCGAAACCTGCCACTACCACTACTGTTCCCAAAGCTGGCAAAGCTTCCTCGTCTACTCAACCTCCGGTCAAGACCAAGAAGGGAGCTCGCTCTGCTACCGTGGTCACAGAGATAGAGACCCCTAACTCGGCGCCATCTCAAACTAGGAGAAAGAACTCCAAGCGGTCATCAGAAGTAGAAGTACAGTCCCGGAAACACAAAGCGGTCGAAAGTAAGTGGGGTTTGCTTGGCTTTTGTAATCTCATACTAACTCGTTTTACTTCCCAGAACCTGAGCCTCTCAAGCGTCGTCGTAGTAGCAAACTCTCCGTTCAAGATCAACATGAAGAACCCGAACCCGAGCTAGCACCGTATCAACATCTGAGAGCAGTGACTCGTAAAGTGTCACGCCAGACAATTGAGAAAAAGTGGGAACCTCTCCCGCCTCTATGTGTCGATCGCATCACACAACTCCTCCAAGATACTCAAAGACCCGTCCTGGTCCATCTACACGACGAGAAGAAAAAGAGTCAAGCCAGCTCAGCCATGCAGAGCATTGCTCGCCGCCTCACGACAAAAGTTTCCCGAGGGCTACCATTCCCACCGGGAAGTCGGAAACATCGGGAAGACGACTTCGATTTTGAAAAGATCGTGGAATTGAATCGTGTTCTGGAGGCGCAACTGACTCCTGCTCTGCATTCGAACGCGCTGCTAGAGGCGGAATTGAGAAAAGAGCTAGCCATGCTGGAGTTGGAGAAGGCGAGTATGGTAGAGTTGGAGACAAACGCCAATAGCGAGGCTGTGGCAAGGAATAAAGCTGCGAGAAAGTTGCATCATGCTCTCCAGCTAGATGATGTATTAGGCGAAGAAGTATTGAGGGACGATATTGGGTTGGATTTCGAGCGGCGGCTTCAACCATTGGCTTTTGGGGTGAGCTTCTATTATAATATATTCATAGTGGATATTCACTAACTGGTTGCAGTTACAAGACGATCCGGATTTACAGGACTTGGTCAACAGCCTCGAAGGTCACGTGAATACGGTTCAGGGAAACCTCAAGCAGGTGGAAGGGGTCTCTCAGGCGATGGCTAATAGTAGGGCCGCTGTCCAAGCCACGCTGTTCCATCGTCTGGACAGTGCACGCTACGATGATGTGGTTCTGGGCTTTGAGGAATGAGACAGATCTGAGTTGGGTTGATGTATCCGAAGATTATGTCACTTGGGTGCTGCGTGGTAATTTCGAGGACGTATGCAGACTTCAATCGAGCGATGACTGTCTGCGAAGCTCGTACACGTAGACAATCTACATTGATGGGAGGTCAGTATGGCCGGGACACGCCTTGCCACTCAATAAGTCGTCCTCTATTACTTCCAAACAAGATTCAACAACAGAAATTAAAGTAAGAGAACGCACAGAATCCGAAATCCATCGGAAGCTTGAAGTCCATGCCTGCCTACCCTACCTCATATCTAGATATCCCGACATTCCAACCGAATCGATAAACCTGCCTACCTATACACCTCACACCCGAGTTGAGTCGAGTCGAGTCGAGGAGCCAAATATATATATATATATAATATATAGGGAGATGAATGAATGGATGAATGAATTTATTTATTTGCTTTATTAGTGATATAACGTGTCCACCCCGTATGGTATATTCTCAATCGCCCAATGTCCATCGTAATGTCCTTGTCCAGATTTCCACAGTATATATATATATGTGTGTGTGTGTGTGTGTGTGTGTGTGTGTGTGTGTATGAAACAGGAAAAAGGTATCCCTCCCTCCTCTTCCTCCTCCTCCTCGTCGTCGTTAGCGAGGCGGGATCTCTCAACTCGATTCTGGCTCGCGCGCTCGTTTGGCTTCAACGCGAAAACTGCGGACTGCGAAGGCCGAGCGAGAGCGATAGTGAAGTTGGGAAAAGAATAGGCGATGGGCTCGGTTCTACATGTCGAACTTGATTCGGAACGATATGCTAGCAAAATTCCTTCTTTGTTTTATCACAAAATATGCATGCAAGAAGCGTGTCAAGCACACGAGGCAGTATATTCTCGGTATCATATCATTTCCAAGCAAGTCATACGCTCCTAGCAAGGACATCTATCCTCTTGTAAGTTGAAACTCTGAAGTCGTCAACCACTCACTTCTCAGAGATACAACGTCGCCCGATCCGCAGCAGCAAAATCGCTCAAGTATCAAAATTCAATTCCACCAACTTACTCTGCAGGAGTCTCACCAACGCTCCGCCGTCAGCACAGTGCTGTGCAATATTTAGAGCCTTGTCAGCCCAATTCTTGGACCTCTCGTCCTCGCCGGCACAGTAGAAGTCGACGGCATGATTGAAAGCCTTGGCTGCCATCCATTCGATTTCTCCAGAGGGGAATGGCGTATCGGTCTGCAGGTCACTACTCAGCTCTAGCGTGCTTGTATCACCGAAGAGATTGCCTTACCTCCGCGGCTTCTGATGCGTAGCCACACACCTGGTCCAGAAGCTGTTCTGCAACCTCGACATCCTCTGAAATCGTGATCTGGAATAGACAGCGGATGTATTTGGCCAGCTTCGGGACATCGAGTGAATCCATCCCCCACGTTTCATTGATAATCTTCTTTAGAATGTGAACCAGAGCTATGCCGGAGGATTAGTTACAGCTCCGTTTTTGAGTAAAACCTCTACTTACTAGCCGTAGGAGCTTGAGAGCAGAGGACGATATCCGCCATGACTTCGTAGACCACGTTACTTTTGCAAGCATCGGCCTTCAGAACGATTTCTCCGAGCTCGTCCCAGGTTTTCAGCTGACAAGCGGCCTCGAAGTCGAAAGCGGCGAGGATAGTAAGCTTCCGACGCAGGTCAAGCTCGGCTTCTTCTTCCAAAGTACCCACTTTGCTTTGAAGTTGCGCATCGAAGCTTTCAACATGCTTGCGTACTTGGAGATAATCCTGCAGTTGAACCTCAATATTGTCCTCGCTACGAGCTAGACCAACTAATGCTGTTGCAGCCGTGAAATCGCAGAACATCCGGCGCAAAGAAAGATCATCGTTAAGCTGCTGATTTACGTCCTTGGGGTATTGATCAATAAATGCGATGCAGCAAGATAACATGCGAACAACTCGTTGGGGCTTCCAATTCGCAAGGTGCTTGATGGCCAGGTTATAGGAGTTCTTGGAAAACCAGTGAAGTTCGTCTATCGTCCAGATCGCATCAGGCCGGTTCTTTATTAATCGTGCCTTCTTGGACGCGGTCACACCTGCCATAGAGATTAGTATAGCAACATGGAATAGCTGCGGATCGTGCGTACCCTTTTCGTACATCATGCACAGCTTTTCTACCATGGCTTCTGCCTTCTCGGCGTCATTAGGGCGCTTAGATGTCTCTTCAAGGATTTGAACCATCAGAGATATTGTCAGGCGAAGCAGTGACGCCAGATTGATCAACGGAGCATCATAGCCGCAATTTTCGAGTACCAGTTGAAGCGCAGCCAACGTCTGGACTCTATCACCGGCTTGTTGAGCATCTAACACGCAAGCATACAATAGCTTAGGGTCTTTGGTCGATGCAGAGCCTATCAACTGAAGGCATTCGGCAGCCAGATCCGTTTCTTGACAACGTACCGCTATCTTGTACATCAAAAATCTAGACATCGGTTCGTTCTTCGCAGCGTCTGACATGGAGGAGAAAATCTCTCTGGCACTTCCGATATCCGTTCTAGCAAGCGCACAGAGGAGTAGCTTTCTAGAAGAAGTCGGCATTTTTCATTTCTGAGAGCCAGCCTACTGACCTGGAAATCCTAGCCGTGTTTAACTCTCCTGAGTTCTGAAAGATTGGATGCAAGGCCAACCTGCACCACTTCTCTGCCACATCAAACTTTCCCGAGATATAGTTCGACTCTATGCGCTTCCATAGCAACTGAAGAAGATTAGCTTTGAGCTTTGTGTTGACAACGGCACGCTTACGGTGTGAGCTGCTAGGGTGGCTGCTGAGCTGGCCGGCTTGACAAAGTTGGCCACCATCGTGGAGAAGAGTTCTTCCAGTTTTCCAAGAGAATCAGGGCTGTCTCTGTGGTTCGCTGCAATCCACAGTCTAGTTATAAGCGCCTTTTCAAACCAATCGTCACAATTTTCTCGAACGATGCGCAGGATCAAGAAATCGTCGAGGGCCTTGGATGCCAGACTCGGGCTCTTATCCGTAAGTTTGCGGATGTGTGACATGATCAATTTGAAGTTGCCATCGCTGAGCAGAAGCGTCCGTATCATACGTTGAAGAATGTCGAGGTATGATGCACTATCGAATGGAACCCCGTCATCTGTCGAAGGTGCGGACAGCAATTCCAGCCTTAGTAGCAGGACCACCAATTTGTCGCCAACCTGATTCTGAAGAAGATCAACAAGGCCTCGAGCTCGTTCTGCCGCGGCTGGATCTCTTAGACCCAGTAGTGCTCTGGTCAGAGACTGCAATATAGATGTTCGAAGCTCAGTAGCGTCCACGCTCAACCGGTCCAGTTCTTGGCCATCCAACACTTCGCTTGCCCTTTCGAGCCACTTGACAGCCATTGGGTATTGTTGCTTGGTCAGAAGGTCCTTTCCCATCTCGTACAATACATCTGCCAGACTCTCTGCGGTGCTTGGGTGGAAGAACTGTTTGGCGCTTGTCGATTTGGTGAACATATGCTCTGCCATGTCGAATTGCGACTGATGCCATGCCTGCAGCCGAGTTAGGGATGATTATTGCAGGTGGTCGAGTAGGACTTCATACCAGGGCTGTCCGAAGAACATAGTATTCCGCGATTAACCTCTCACTCTCCTCCCGATCTTTCTGCCTCTGCTCCGCCGCATGCTTCTTCATCGTCGCCTCATGTTCGCTGACCCGTCCCAGTACCTTCAGAGCAAGTTGATACTCCTTGCGTTCTGCAGACCGTCAGCGTTGAGCGCCGTTGTGCGCACGTCAACGTACCCAAGCAGCTCTTCCCAGCCTTGAGTCCGGTTTTCATCAACCTGGTTAGGTACGCCCCCGCACTCTTGCCCGCTACGTGCGCACAGTCGACCATCAGGAACGCATACACGCGTGCGAGCAGTAGCACGATCGGCACATCTTGTGGCTGTTCAGTATCGTAGTCGCGCCGGAGCCTTGTACAAAGATTCCAGATCGACGTCCCACTGCGATCCAGCTCCTCGCACTGGGAAGATTTCGTGACACTCAAATTCTCGGGGAAGGAGGATATGCGATCTTCGAGGTCCTTTGTGGTCGAGATTGATGTCTTGGATGCTGCAGCTTTGGGTAGGTTCGCCTCAAGCTCGGCGGCGAAGGCTGCGCCCGGGGGAATTAGAATGTTAGATTTGTTCTGCCAGGCAGGGAGGGGGCGCTCGAGCCACAACTCACAGAGAATATTCTTGAATCGCTGGTCTTTCGCAGGACGTACAGGTTGCGTGGGCGCCATGGTGTTGATGGTTGAACTACATGTGGGCGAAGGAGTGAGGCTCGAGATTGAGTATGAGATCGAGATCTCGAGCTATGCATGGCATCATACTTGGCATTTTAGCGAGCATCAGCCCAGAATGGAAGTTACCAAATCGGCTAAATCGGCCTCTTGTCGACGACTGTCAAGGGGAATTTGGGGTTCTGCGAGGCGAAATTTCGACGACACACAAGATTTAATTTTTGTTTGAGTTGATCTACAAAGAATCAAAAGAGGCCTGGGAATACGCTTGCTTGGTCCTAAGAGAGCCGCGGAAAATCGGCGACCCAAGACGCCAAAAACGCCTACAGAAGCCCAAGAAAATATGTGCGTATCACCTAGAATTTACACGAAACGTCTAAAGCCAAGACGGTTTTCACGGTCTCAGCGCTTGACCGGATTCTGAGGTAGAAAGTTGCCGACAATCAGACAGGGACTGCAGCGGTTGTCAGTGGGTATACGAAACCATCAAGGGTGCAGGCGTACATTTTATACTCATCCCTCCGTATCGTGAAGGAAAAGCAACACTTGATTGTTGGGTCTTTAGAACTGTCATCTGGGTTCTTCAGATAACAACTTGTCAACAAGGCCTGCTGGGACTGGTCGAATGCTATGCCGCCAAATTTCTCCCAGTAGCTGACCAGCGATTCATCGGCCAGAATCTCATGTATAGAAATTTTGCCCTTGGACACAAGTCAGCAAAATCTCGTTCTACGGTCACGCTACTACTCACATCTCGCAACTTCTCAACCGGAACATGTATCAATTCTGCCATCTCCTTGTTACCCCTACATATTTCCCCTGTCCGTCTCCAACAGCATGCAGGTATAGCCATGCTCGCAAAGACCCGATCGTATTCCATGAGGCTGCGTTCAAACCACATTTCGACGAATACGAGCTCAATATCCGTCAGCGCGTGAATCTTTTCCCTGAACTTTGGTCTGAATTTGTTCAGTGATTGTAGGATCTTCTGTTTCTGGGCTGCATGCAGATGGCCGTCCATGTAAGCCAAAAGTCGCGCATAGCCCGCCACATAGTTGAATGGCTTCAGCATGCCAGCGTCGTATTTCGCTCGGAGAAGTCTTTGCATTCGTTCTTCGGGCGCATCGTTCCCATTCGGGTCTGCCGCTTGAAAGTAGTACTCGCGTGTTTTATCTGTCGGAATGACGCTCCCTGGTCTGGATACTGCCCCTGCTTGACCAGCCCCGGGTCCCAACAACACTGACGATTGCGCGGCAGACGGACCAGCATTACTATTCGACGCCCCTGGTAACATAGCTCCTCTAGGTTGGTCGTTATAGAATCCGGAGGTATCTTCGGAAAGTAGAGCACCGTCGTCGAGCAAGCTATTGTTCAGAAAATCGTTCAAAAGGTTGTACTCGTTTGTAACTTCGGGCGCGTTGAACATGTACGAAGGGTCGTAATTATGCATATCTTGAAATTGGTTATGTGAACCAAGCCAGTCGCTTGAGTAATCGATAACTGTCTTGTCAATACCTTTTTACAGAAGGAAAGAGCGATACAAGCCTTACACTGGTTGCTGTGGCTGTTAAGATCCCTCGCTTGGACCCCGGAGAACGGCGAGGGCTGAGCCAGCTGTGGAGGCCCGGCCTGGGATAGTGCAGCAGTGCCTAACGTGAGGCTGGCCTCTTGCGATTGACCGAGCGTTGGCTCGAATGAGGTCTTCAAGCCGATATCTGTGTTGTTGCCTTGCACCGGATCTGGCGACAAGTCATCCTCCTCCGCCACGGTATTGCTATGCTGGCTCTTCGCCAACGTGGCCGACATAAATTGTTTTCTAGGCTCATCGTGGCAGAGGTGTGAGATCGACCTCTTAATACAGCGTGCACAAGGGCGGTTCTGTACAACAGGGGAGATGTTAGTCACAGAGCACTGTGTAGCACGAATGGTTACATATATTGGAAGAGGTCGTACCAAATCGCATGTCATATGCTACCAGATACGGATCGGATTAGCCTGTGCCAGATAGTTGCGCATAGTCGCATATCTCAAGGATTCTCCTTGGACTGGGACCCAATGCAAGACTTACGGATCGGCGGCAATATACACAAGCTGCAGGAACGCGCTCCAGGGTCAGCGTATTGTTCAAATCCGGAGAGGACAGGGCTTGACTCGAATCGACTCGGGCTGGACCGGTACCATGGTTGACTTTGCGCCTCTTCTTCGGGCTCTTGCTTGCGCTCGTCGTCGCGCCAGAAGCAAGCGGCGACGGCGACTTTGTGGGCCTCGCATCCTGCCCATTACTGGCTCCATTCTGTTCCATAGCATCGGAGCCTATATTCTTGGGGATTCCATCGGGTTGCGACACGCGCGCAGAGGCAGGCAGAGAGGTCTCGTGGGCCAGGGCAGGGCAGGGCAGGGCAAGTCGACCCAGCTCTTCCGGTACATCCAGCTAGCGAGCTACTGTATACTCAAGGTGGTCAGTCAGCAAATTCTTGCAGAAGTGGCAAAGAATAGATGGTAGATAGGGACTGTACGGTACGTACGAAATACTGCTGCTGGCACTTGCTGCACACCAAACTGAACACACGAACGAAAAGAGAGCAAGGGAAAAAAGAATGGCGGCCGCATCGACGGGTTAACCACGCGCCCGGGTCAAAGGGTGGAACTCGAACGTGAGAGCTTGAGCTTGGAAGCCGAATCACGGGTAGTGGGGGTACCGGTAGCTGTCAGACACTCGCCTGCACCCGGTCCGGATTACGCATTTAGGGCCCGTTTATTCTGTAATCAAGCAGTTGATACTGTACGACGTAATTTGGACTTATCAAGTCAAATATATATATATATATAAACTTTGTATTTAGCGGCTTGATCTTCGGCACGCTGAATGATGTCCTGCCCCACTTCAGCCTTGTGGCATGTGCTGCAGCTCGGCCGCTTCTTCCGGCGCCCACGCTCCAAGAGCTACTCGAGAGGTGTAACCGACGAATAACTAATTTGCATATATAGGTATATATTGATCGACGGGCTATGCTGAAGAGAAACAGACTCCGTGCATCCCCCAACAGAGGATCCGTTCAGTAAGTATTTGTAGACCGAGCCATTTGTTTATACCGAAGCGAGCCCACCCGGTCATGCGGGGTGGGCCACGTAGATGTAAGTAGTTGTCGAACTCCTCATTATTTTCTTTCCGGATCTATTAGAGAAACTGCGAAGCTGCAAAAACAAGCGAGAGGTTACCAAACAGAAGACCTTTAACCTACCTTGGCTCACTTATATTGAAACCAAGCCGGCGAAAGATCAATCGGATTTGTAGCAGTCGAAGAAGCATGGAAGGTAAACTGTTATGTAAAGATAGATATATCCCATCTGAATTTCATCTACTACAGCTTCCAGTAATAGTCTGATAGAAAAACACACTTATTGGCACTCGAGTCTCAGGTCAAGTGCCCGGTGCTCGCCAAACCCCAAAGTAATTACCTGCCTAATGGTAAAAGTTGCCTCTTTTAGATAGCACGAATAGCAAAATTGAGAGGTCGCGATCCGCAACTCTAGTCCGGGTACGCTTTATTTATTCGTCTTCTACCCTTCTGATATACCTATGCACGTACCGTATACTTATCCTCCGCCTCACCTCACCTGTAGAAACTTGCCAGGGCATTATTGATATAATGATATATTCACATTTCCTTATACCCAATGTAAAGTGATGCATAGATATCTTACGAGCCGCTCCCTTCTGATTGTGCTACTTAATAAAAAGATCAATGGTCCGGTGATCCTTGGTCTCCTTTGATGTCCCATTCTTCCTTATTGTCTTAATCAATAACACGGTCTGAAAAACGCTTCAGCTTATCTTTCGATTCAAAGAATTGGCCCCATAACTTCAAATAATCGTGTTCCATCACTGTCCTTGGAATAAGATATTATACTCTTTTATTTCGAAACGTCGAGTAAAGCTATAATGATCACCGAGCATCAAAACACTCTTTCGCAATATCCGATTACATACGCATAGCTTTCATAATCGCTGAAAGAACTCCCGAGGATTATTTGAAGTAAGCAAAAGTCGAAAGAATACTGCAAATCTACGACCCGAACGTAAAAGCTCGCACGATATAATATAACACGAGCTTTAAAATTAAAAATTAGTTTCTAGTATATCTACAGACGTAAAGTTCAATCTAAAAGCGATATATAATTCTATTAAACGATATCGGGAAAGTAGCTCTTAAACATAGGTTAAATTCATCGCTACGAAGATCCAAAATCTCGTCGATGCGGCTATACTACGAAGTAACACGGCGAAAACCTTTGTCGAATAAGCGCAGCTTCTTTTTATAGCGGCATTAAAAGAGATTTCAACAAGTAAAAGTCGACTCCCGGATCTCTTATTCAACATTTTATTCACGGCGGCAGTATCGAACGAAAACATCGTACTTAAGCTAGCATTTTATAAGCTCAGCAAAGCATATATCTCGAATTGTTGAAGTATTAAGCAAAGCCGAGCATATTTATTAGCAAGCATATATCTTGCGCAATTTCAAAGGCTACAAGAAAGCCAAGCAGCGTTAGCCGAAGCATATCGGTATGCAGATATGCTTATTCAAAGGTACGGCAAATAGCACCTATTACTGCTTGATATTACTTATTTAGCGTAGTGATCCTAAATCATCTACAAATGATTCTCTTTTACTTCTGCATTAAGCATATCCGAGCCTCCATAATTAAGTTGGTCTCTACTCTTAACTTCATAGACTTATGAAATATAAATAAATTTGATAAAATCTACTCCTTTCCAAGTATGCCATTCAAATTTGAAATATCAAATCCCGTCGCTTCATATATGACTTGTCCAGGCGACGGATTCTCGTATTGCCATTATATATCTGTGTACTTGTAAGATATAGCCTCGGCTATAAAGCAATGTAAACAGGAGGCAAAAGCGCAGATTGATAATGCGGCTCGAATACTGTCCAAGCTTACAGCGACGCGACTACCGTAGCCGTTGTTCAGCAATTACCTCTATCAGCTATTACGTGCGACTTGATTGCCCAGTTCTATCGACCCTAGCTTCGATAAGTTATATCCACAATCCTTGCGCGCCTTTCGAGATGAGCTATCTATTAAAAGGGATCCAGGCGCTTCACGAGATAATCTTGGCAATCCTTCGTAATGCTGGCAGCCAAAGACTGGTTATCACAAATGTCTAAGTCATGGCTTATACGTAATTTTTCAAGATACTATTTTATAATGCCGAGCTGACTTGGCTGTTTAAGGACATGATACTTTTGCTAGAACTGAAATGTCATACGATTCTCGGTCAGATAGCGAGAACTTTTATTACCACCGAAATCCTCCGAAAGCTTCTAAGAAGGGCTCTAGATTTACTACTACGTACGTACCGGTAGTATATCTACGTAGTATACCTATCTAAAGCAAGCATCGTCCGGTTCCGCCCCCTACAAGGTAAAGCTTCGCTCAGCGGCATGTCTCTCCACCGGAAAGCTTATTGTGGACCACTCTCTACACGGGAGAGAGCACGAAACTCAGAAGAGCGATATTAGGACTAGTGCCCACTCGGTCGGTTTCCGACCTATGTATGCATAATTTCCAGCGGTATAGCGCTTAGCCCGCTTAAGGAGGATTCAATAAGAGCTTCGCTTCGCGAAAGGAACCACGATATACGCCAAGTGGTGCTCTTGCCGCCCCTTCTCAAAACTTGATTCAGCAGGCACTCAATTACGCCAGGACAAGCGGCACGAAAGACTCTATCTGCTTAGGCAGGCAGACGAGGTAGACGCATGCTCCGGGTCAGTAAGAAGCGGTGTCGATAAAGACGACTTGTGTAACGACGCTGCTCGGTTCGCTAGACAACCTTGCTGGTGTGTGATCTATATACCACGGTACAGGCCTAAGTACGTAGTATTACCCCTCGAGGGTGCTTCAAGAGTTTTACTACGTCCCAGGCGTAAGTATTACCCCTCG